GTCCATTGCGCCAGGTCGCCTTGTCGAAACTGGATACTTGCCGTGATACACGTCAAACACAAGTTTATTCCGTGCGCACGACGCTACCATTGACGCACGATGACGTGGCAACGTCACAGCAGCGATTCATGAGCTGTGATTTTTCAAGTCATCCCCGCTTCACCACGGTTGCGAGTCACAGAGAGTTGTATCAATATACCATTTCAAGCCGAGACTGTTATGATAGCTAAAGTGAAGCGAGCTCGATTGATGTAACATGCTTTCTTCAGACTCTCATTGCCGGAGCTGTACCGCATTGTTGAACAGAGTGGCATACCGCCAAAGGTAGACGGTGATGTTTCGTCGCATACCCAGCTGATCTGGGGTACTTTGCACTTGGTGAGAACTCCATAACGTGCTCTTTGTTTGCAATCGATCGTTTCTTCACGACCTTTGAGACTACATGATCACCGACCCCTTGAACTTGCAGAATTCTTAGCGATGCCTATACTGGTGTAAGAACCATTCGCATGATAGTCCAGTTCTACACGTTCTTCGAGGCAAATCGGTGACCTTACCACGGACAAGGCGGTGAACCAGCTGCATGGTCTCTGCTGACCATGTGTCGCAGCTCAGTGGATCGTCAATCAAACAACTGCGACCGATCGGTGTACTAATCAATTGGCAATTTGTTCTGTCGTCCGACAGGCCACGACAAGGGACTGAGATTCGCTGCGGATCGTATCGGACGAACACCACCAGCCCAAGTGACGTCACAGCGACCGAGTCAGTCCAGCGTCGGACAATCTCGTAAATGTAATGTTCTAGCATGGTATACTAGTATGAAGGTAATTCACAACATGCAAAAATACAAATCATGTTGAAAACCAACACCACTTGTCCGACACAACTCAATTTCACTCGCAGTCGAACAATGGTCGCGCTCTCTGCTCTCGGCACCTTCCTCCTCGCTGCTAACCTCTCGTCTTTTGACCCGACGACCGTCCGTCCCACTGACGACACCAATAAGACGATCTTCGCAGTCCGTGCCGACTTGAGTCGTGGGCGATTCGCATCCGCCAAGCCCGTCGCCGCCGTCACGTTTCCCATCGCGGACGTGACATCAACCGTGTACGTCTCGCGTGAGAGCTACGCGCGCGCAACCGAAGCCGTCAAGCCGTCTGAAGTTGTCGCCAATTTTGTCAACTCGCTGCTTTTTGCTCAAAGTAGCGCCGCCCGCGAGTGTTTGCCAAACATTTACGGTGCGTCCAAGCTCAACACGTCGTTTGAGTTTGAGTTTTCGGACAAGCCATCGATGACCACGACGCTTGAAGCCAAACCCAATACGACGACTGCGACAGTGGTGCAACTGGCACCGGGCACAGTGAGCCAAGTTGTCTTCCGCGTCAACGCGGGCTGCTTGGACTACGCGACGCTCGCGTGCAACTTGGACGCGGCGTCGGGCGCCACCTCGTTCCGCATCGGCGTGACACGCGCCGAGTACTTGGACCTACACCCGTCGTCCTTGATGGCCATGTGCGGCAACCAGTGGGACTCGCGCCCGGTTGACATCGACCCCAACGTCAACATCGCGTTCGCAGTACCGTCGGGCACCTGGGTGGCGCAGACGGTCGCAGACGACGCCAAAGCCTTCTTCAGCTACAAGGCGCCAGCGACGACGACGACCAAGCCATCCAGCATCGCACCGACACCGACGCCGACACCGTCCGCCGCCTCCACGTTGTCGCTTTCCACGAGCGTCTTTGCATGCCTCGCGGCGATTTGGCTCATCCAATAGAAACGTGACGGCAGGGTGCTCAGCGCACGGTCGTAAGCAGCACCTACCACCGCACCGTGAAGAAATCGATATGGTGCATACGTCCGACCGAGCTAACCTTTAGGTCTGGGAGGGTTAGCAATTTTGAAATGACTATGCGGACGGCCCAACATAGTACGATGAGCGATCAACTCGACAACCTTTTGTTTTTGAGGCGTTTCACTAGATGCAGGGCTACGTTACCTGTAGTATACTTGGTGTCGTCTCGCGAGGAGTAACTGTGCTCGTTGTCAATGCGTGATACGAAAACGGTGCACGCATATTTCGAGTCTTCGTGCAGAAGAGAGCGCTTGGCACTGCGACTGCGGGCGTTGGTTTCGATCTCGGCATTGGCGATTCCGTCGCATCGGCCAGCGCTGGAACATGACAACACCGCAATGACAATTCACCCAAACTCAAACTCCTGCATTACATTAGGGAATACTGAGGTATTGCGACGCCGTTTGCAGCCCATGCACGATCGCCCTCGATAATCTTTATGCAATGCCACAAGGGACAATATGTTGTTTGACGCTTTTTGTGAATGACTGGCTACACTACCGAAGCGCCACTGGGCAAATTGATGGGGTTGGCATGATCTAACAAGGCATTTCACGGTAGTGGCTTTATACCTGTCAATACATTGTTTCATTTGTTGCCAGTTTGTTGCGGTGACCAGCCGACATTTGTTTGCTTCTGGACGTCGACAAAAACGTCCAGAAATAGAGTGCTTTTGCTACCAAGATTTCTTCTCACTAAGCTTATTCGTAGAGCTGACGAGTAGCACGTACGGGCTGGCCGCAGGTTTATGGCTACTAGCGTATTATTCACTATCGGCTGGAACATGCAAAGAAAATCAAACGCGTTTACGGAATGAAAATGAGGCCGTACGATCTCAAAGGAAATATGAATCCATCAACAAATTGGACTGAATTCTTTGGTCGGTTATGACGATTGAAAAATGGGTTTGTACCATGCGATGCCAGCCTTCACATACATATGGTGTATTGTTCAACATCTCTGTCCACAACCGTGTAGACACACATATGCCCAGACATGTCTTGACAATCACTCGGCTTGTTAAAGATTATATATATATGAACGTGTTCCGCGTTATCTTCATTATGGCACAAAGACTTCGCATACGTAGCGCTACGCCTGAATGCGTGGGAGTTGGCACCAGCACTTGGTCGTTGGGAGTGAGCTGCGTACGGAGAGATCCATCCCGTGGTGGACCCATTTATCTTGCAGGCGAAGCGAACTGATATCTTTCGGGAGGCAGCAACCACCACCGTTTCAGTTAAGTGATGAACAAATGACGTACGAAATCACGGTGTCGTGCCCTAAACGCGATTAGCTGGTGTTTCTTCAGTCGCAAAATTACACTAAAAATTGGAGGAGTGTGTGGTCGCTGCAGAGGCCTGACGGACGCAACGACATCTCAACCGAGTTTGCACTAGAGTGCAATGCCTTTCCTAACGTTAGAGTGTTTTGAGACAGCAACAGGACGATTTTCTGATCCTGATCCTGCACTGCATAGCTTCAACAACGGTCGGTCGGCAGGGATATTCATTGAAACTAGCTCCTGTTCAATCGCTCACAGGTTTAGCGTACGTAGGTTCGATCCCATCGCCAGGATAAGAGAGGCAAGGGGTCCAAGCGCCGTCGACTCGTTCTCACCGACCGTTCATGCCGATCCGCCGCCGATTTACTCCATTTTCTAACGTCATGTCCACAGCAACATTCGGTGATAGCTTTCACTCTGCCATTGGAGTTCGGCAGATGCGCTGTACACGGACGAGGCAGCTGATGACATCCGAAGATCCACCAGCTGCTTCTACTCTTGTCACACTCAAGGCTCACCGAGGCGCTTCACAAGTCAATTTCCCACCCGCCCAAATCTACAAAATGGTCGCGCTCGCGGCCCTCGGCACGTTCCTTCTCGCTGCCAACCTCTCGTCCTTTGACCCAACGACCGTCCATCCCAGTACCGACGTCAGGAGCACGATCTTCGCCGTCCGCGCCGACTTGGTGGGCGGTCACTTCGCCTCCGCCGAGCCCGCCGCCAACGTCACGTTTCCCGTCGCTGACGCCGCGTCGACTGTGTACATTTCGTACACTAGCTATTGGCGCGCCGTTGACGCTGCGAAGCCTGCTCCATCCGTCCGCCAGTTTGTCAGCGCGTTGCTTTTCGAGGCGCCCATTCTGCCTTACACGTGCGCACCCACCATTTATGGCTCCACGGTCCTCAATGCCTCGGTCGTCATTTAGTTTTCGGACCAAATTTCAAAGACCAAGCTGCTCGAGGTGGCCGACCCCAACGTCACGGTGTTGGCGTATATGGACCTCGGGTCGCGGTCTGCGACCCAATTCGTCTTGAGCGTCGAGTCGGGCTGCTTGGACTTTGCGACGCTCCAGTGCAATTTGGGCGCAACGTACGGCGCTGTCGACTTTCGAATTGGCTTTACGCGGGCCAAGTACATGGAACTCAACCCGCGGTCGAGTATGGAGCATTGCGACATCTCCAAGCCCACTGGCCGCGGACTCGACATGAACGTTGCGTTCTCCGTGCCGACGGGCGACTGGGCGCGTCACACGATCGCGGACGACGCCAAGGCATTCTTCAACTACAAGGCACCGGAGAAGACGACACCGCCGACCGCTGCGCCAACAACCAGCACGCAGCGTCCCGTGACGGTGGCACCTGCTGCAACGTCGGCCGCCTTGTCCCTTGCAACGAGCGCTCTGACTGGCGTTTGTGTACTCTACCTTGTACTTGCCTTGTACTAGTAACCATTAAACAGTGCCCTTTCTATACATTATGTACACAAAAGAAGATTCTGTTGATTTAAACCAAAAATTCGGGAAACCGGTTGGGGTAAAAGTTGAGTCCTTCGACGGTATCATCTCGGCACAGCTTGCCACGCTGCTCGGCCACCTAACACAGCACGTAAGGCACTCCACACTTTCTATCTCTCGACGCACCTTGAGGTACTCGTGGGCGAGCGACAAGGATACGTGCATCTCTGTCGCCACGTCGTTGGACGTGATGCAGCTGTCTTTGGCCGTCCGCGCCAAGTTCTCGAGACGCACGGCCACCTGCTCTTCATTGTGCGAATCTACAACACACCAGCCTCGTCCGAGTGCGTCGGCCACGAAGACGACGTACCAGACTGGAGAACGATGAGACCGCCATCAAACTTGCGCACGTGCAAGCCCAAGTGCAATGGTTTTTGCAGCATCGCAGCATGGTACAGATCGTCGGGCGAGATGAGCTCCGTGCCCCGGGCGCGGTTGAAGAGGCAGTAGATGTCCGACAGCGTGAGAATGCCGCCGTGGCGCGCCATAGGTTCCTTGAGAAACTCGGCGAGCTGGCGCGCGAGCTGCTGGTGGTACGCGTCGCCCGCGTTCTCGCGTGTTACCGGGCTTGCAATGCCCATGTTGAGCAGGAGCGCTTGCATCTGCGTCGTCTCATCTGCGGTGGTTGCCTCGGCGGCCGCGCTGCTGTTGGCCGTCGCCACGTACCGCTCAATGAGCCCCACCTGCCACGTAACATTAGCACGTGCTAAGATATGCAGAGTCGACCATGTCCTTGGCCTTGTCCATGAGCGCGTTGAGGTCCGAGAACGACTGCGTCGTGAGCTCCGACGTCTGCTTTTGCTCCTCTTGGCGGCGCTGCATGATGCCACCAATGCCGGCTTGCATCGGGTCAAACTGCCGCGTCTGGAGACGGCGGTCAGCCAGCGCGCTCACCGACTTGGTGTCGGCCCACGCACGCCGGCACAGCGACGTCTCGAGCGGCACAAAGAACTCGTCGCGGCCGCCCGCTTTGAACGACAGCTTGAGCAGCTTGGACGCATTTTCGTGGGTGTAGTCGATCTTGATCTTGGACGAGCGTGTGATAAAGCCAGCCTCCTAACGCGCCCAACAATATGGTCGTGGGGTGGCAAAGAACCGTATCGGCGGTGTACCTTGCCGAGCCGATCGACGGCGGCCAGTGGCATGAAGAGGTTGGTGCCCGTGTCGTCCGAGAGCCATAGGAGGCGGTGCGTCGTAATCACGCACCGGCCATGGACGTACTGGGTCTTGACATGCTGGTCGTAGAGCGAGACATGGGACTGGCTGTAGACCTCAACCTCGGACGGCCAAAGCACTGGCCGGCCCGTCTCGGTAAGCGGTAGCGCTACACAGACGAGGTTACGCGGCCGGCGAGAGGGTGCAAGACGTACGCGAGAAGACGGCGAGGGCCACGGCCGGCGGCGCTTCGTCACTCATGAGGAGGCTTTTTGTTGCTGGCAATGTCCGGAAGGACCGCCGGATACATGAATTCCCATTTTTCTACCAATGAACGTGCGCGCATTGGCAACGGCACTCTGGATTGGCTGAAATGCTGACTCAGTGGCAGTACGACGACAATATTTCTCGAAAAGCCGAGTGAGCGGCGCTGCTCGGTACATCGACCAAAACTGCAGGTCCTTATATATACCCTAGCCGCATTGTACTATGAATGTGCCTACTGCTCTCGCCTTGTCCGTCAACGGAGCGCATTACGTAGCCGTTACAAACTAGTCTTCGCAAGTTAGGGCTTGGGGTTTTCGAGACTGAAACGTTGGACGATAAGACAGAATTCGTAGTTGTTAGTTTTATAAAGGCAGAGACGAAGACGCGATGCTCAGCTAGGAGCTTACTTGGGCACGTCGCGGAGTTCGAAAAGCTGGGCCGGGTCCGACGCGTTGCACGGCTTCATGTGCACCTTGGCATCCGCGCCCGACTGGCTGAGGCAAAAGCCCGTGTGCGTCACGTGCTCGATCGTCGTGAGGTTGGCCATCGGGTCGGCCGACCAGAGCTGGTTGCTCGCCGACGCTTCGGACGCTTTCGAGTCCCACTTGGCGCAGCCGTACGCGTGCACGTAGAGCTCGCCGTTGTCGCCCTTGAACGCATCGAGACAGCTCAGTTGGTTGTCGCGGTTGTTGAGGAAGAGCTGCCAGCTCGGGTTGTAGATCCACTGCGCGCCGTTGACGGCCGACGTGTTGTACGGCACGGCGTCGAGGCCGTCGCCATGGTTGCGGAGCATGACGTCGTCGTGGACGATGTTGACGCGCGCCGCGACGCCGCCTTCGACGCCACCGACCATGCCGTCCTCGAGGTTGCCGCCGTCAAACTGATCAAAGACGTCCGGCGCGCCCTTGGTGCGCGTGTGGTCGGCAGCGACGAGCGCGGAGGCGGCGATCAAAAGGAGGGCAGACAGCTGCATAGTGACGAGGAAGAGACAAAAGGTAAAGTGAGCAAGATGGGATCGCGTCCAACCCACCATGTGGCACAGGCTTCCTCGTAGACATGCCGCAGCATCTTGGTCGGCGGTGGCGTGCGCGGAGGACCGTACGTCCGGACGGCAATGCTGCGTGAATAATCTCAGGGCCCCATTACATCACGTCGTCCTACTGTGTACAGCGACGTCGTCGGGGTTTGAGATGGCGGCTGTCGCCGCCACGCCGCCACGGTCTACTGGCGCAGCCTCGAGAAACGCAGCGGCGCCACTTCGAGGACGGCGATGTGCCAAGTACCGTAGGTAGCGCCACCAAAGCACCAAAGGCCTTGGCGATCGTCCCGCAACCATCTGTTTATATCGAACACGAGGCTCTGCATCCCCACGTTCGATGGTCAGCGCCCGGCTCTCTTGTAGCACAACGTCGCGCAGAGGCTTGCTGGTTACAGCGGCCAAATCTCTGTCGCGGCAACGGGCTCGTCGCGTCGACGTTGAGAGAGGCGGAGGTGGTGTGTGAGACTCGGCAGCTGCCCACTGAATTTCCGTCCAGCAACGCGGCTTCCTGCGGCTTGCGAGGCCGCAGCTGCGCTTGCTTGGTCCATCAAGGAGCCTCTTGCATGGTCCGTAGTTGGGTGTCTCGGCAGAATCGACATGTTAAAATTAGGGCTTCAACGCATCGAGCTCGCCGTCTTCGTGGAGCTGCTGGATGATGTCGAGGCCGCCGATGAGCTCGCCCTTGATGTACACTTGCGGGTACGTCGGCCAGTTGGAGAACTTCTTGAGGCCTTGGCGGACCTTGTCGTCGCTGAGAATGTCGAAGTGATCGTACGAGAAGCCGTGTTCGTTGAGCGTCGCGATGAGCTGGCGCGAAAAGCCGCACTTGGGGGTACTTGGCGAGCCTACACATCTTGGTCAGCTCTCAGATGCTAGAAGCAGTCGATGTAATACCCTTGATGAAGATCATGACGGGCGCGCGCGAGATGAGCGCCGCGTAGTCGGGCGTCGACAAGCGCGGCTCCTTCTTGGCCACGCCGAGCTGGTCGGCCAAGTCGCCCTCCTCCTATTCGATGTCGCGATACACAATCAGAAAGCCGTGGTGTTAGAGCGTCGTACCGCCATCTCGGTGAGGATGTCGAGGCCGCCGATGAGCGACCCGCGCACGTACAGCTGCGGGTACGTCGGCCAATTCGACATCTTCTTGAGGCCGTGGCGCACCGAGTCGTCCGTGAGAATGTCAAAGGTCGAGAACGGAATGCTGTTGGCACGCAAAAGCTCGATCGTCTTGCGCGAGAAGCCGCACTTGGGCTCGGCCGGCGTGCCCTTCATGAAGAGCAGCACGGGCGCCGACTGCAAAAGCTCTGACAAGCTCGCAAACAGCGCCTTCTCGGCTTCCTCTACACACCAACTGCGGTCAAAGACGCGTCGGGGGTAACCAAGTACCTTCGCTCACGGGCTTGACGCCGAGCTGGTCGGCGAGATTGCCCTCTTCCTTCATTTCGAGAAGGATGTCGAGGCCGCCGACGAGCGACCCGTTGACGTACACCTGCGGGAACGTCGGCCAGTCGGAGAAGAGCTTGAGGCCTTGGCGCACCTAGTCGCCAGTCGCATCTCGCTCATGCAGGGTGACGTCGTACGGTCTCGTCGAGGAGGATGTCGAACGTGCCGCACTCAATGTTCTCGCTCTTGAGGAGCTCGATGAGCTTGCGCGAGAAGCCGCACTTGGGCTCGCTCGGGTTGCCCTTCATGAACACCATGACCGGCGACGCCCTACGTACGCCAAAGGTTGAGCGGGCCATATCGATCACAAGTCGCCATACGAGATTAGCTTTTCCAAGCGGCCGCGGAGCGCATCGTCGACGACGACGGGCTTGTCCATGGCCAACGGCGTCGCCTCGGCCTGGCGCTTGCTCGCGCGGTCGATGGCCTGCGCGAGCTCCGCGACCTTCATGCCCTCGATGCGCTCCAGCACCTTGTTGCCGAACGAAAGGATGAACGTCGGCACGACTGCGAGGCCAAACTGCGTGCTGAGCGCCGGCACGGCCTCGGCGTCGATCTTGACAAAGGCGAGGCGCGGGTGGAGCGCAGCGAGCTGCGTGAAGAGGACGCTGGCCGTACTGAGCCAGTCGCCCGTTGCCGACTGGTTGGACGGGATGCTCACGTTCTTGGCGTAGAAGAACATGACGTACGTCTTGGCGACGCCCGTGAGGGTCTTCCACTGCTCTTCCGACGTGACCTCGACCACTTGCTGCATCTTCGCTTCTGGCCAACCTTGCGTTGATGTTTGCTAGATGGCATACGCCACAAGTAACAGCATCAAAATGGTTGTTTGCGGCATAATCCTCTTGTATTCGGCATATTCAAGGTGGCATATGTGGCATACCAAGTCCGCCGAATTCTGAAAACAGCGCAAGACGAGGTCCTGGATTGGCTGAAATAAAGCAAATCACAAGCCGGCATGTCGATGTCGTGAAAGCAATTGGCTATAATTCGTTTCAAGGGAATACCTTTGTAAATCGATGCATCCCAAATAACCTGCCAAATCGAATGATCACAATCCGGGATATTTTCGAAGGAATTTGGGGATTTTCGAACTGCGAGCGACCGCGGCAGCCGAGTCCATTGACCACCGAGCGCACAGCATGAGGTGCGCCTGTCCGCCATCCCCATCGCTGCTATATGCGCTCGTCTCTAGCTCTCTCCATGACGGTAGATCCGCGACCACGAGCCATTGCCCAGAGCGATCCGGCGACACATCGCCTGCAAGCCATCGGCAGCGGCGCAACAGCGTGTCGACATCTGCCACTGGCCCGCCACCTGCCGTACTGTCATGCTAGTGTATGCTGGTAGCTCACTCGGGCTAGGCGTCATTGCTGGACGTACCACCCGCCGAGGACAAGGTGCTCTGCGATTTGGATCCGCGATACTTTACGCCGCATTTCGACCCGATCGCCCACGTCCTTGTACGTCTCGACGCCTCGACCACGCCCGCGGCTGCAAGTGGCTGTTGTAGGAGTCGTTGCCGCTGCAGGCGGACGAAGTGAGCGATTTTTTGCAGTCGCAGATTGGCGTGCTCGATCTCGCCAAGGACGTGGTGACGGCCAAGCTCGCCGAAGACGTCCAGCGCAACCACACGACGTTCATCCAAGGCATGAACCAAGTGCAAGACGTCGACTTGGACTTGACACTGGCGCTGATCCAAGTCAAGAACGGCCGACGGCTCCTCGCGAGCGCCAAGCAGGACCTCGTCATCAACCATCTCGAGCTGGTCAAGCTGCGTCGCAACCGCGACCGTCTCCAGACCGTAGGCGTCCCACTTGTACACGTTCTAGTACGTTTGTTGTCTAGATTGTCGACTTTAGCTCGCAGATTCTGGGCTTTGTCCGCCTCGAGCACGACATGTTGTCGCAGTTACAAGAAAAAGACTATGCGAGCGCGGTAAAAGCACACAAATAGTGTCGATACACTATAAACCGGCACGACTAGGTGGCTACGTGCATCGACATTCGCCGGCAGCTCGACCAATCGCGTGATCTGGATCGGTTCTTCATCCTGCGGCCCGTCCGTCAGCGCATGGTCCACGCCCTCCTCGAGCTGCGCCAGCACTTTGAGACGGTACGACGCGTCACCGAATATAGCTTCAGCCTTTGATGACGCGCAGGCCCTCGTGGGACTCCTCGAGTCGTTTGATTCGGCAGCATACGGCAACCTCTTGCGCGCCATCTTAGCGCTGGACGCCGAGCGGTCGGCAACGTCGAGCGTGCCGCAAGTGATTGTGCGGGGCATCGAAGACCTCTCGCGACAGCACATCCAGAGTCTCTTTACCGACGCGACCGTGCGAACAGCCAAAAGGGACAAGCCCACGCAGTCGGTGGCCATCGTACCGCACTTCCTTCGCTGTCGTGGTGGTCATGGGCCCTGGCTAGATGCTCGAAGACCTGCTCGCGTGCTACGAGAAGCTCGTGGGCCTCTTGCACGGCTACTACCTCATCACGCAGTGGCACCGCGATCCATTCAGCGACAAAAACACCGAGTTGGCATACTTGCATCGCTGCGGCTTGGATGACGCGCCGACCGAAGCGACCAATCAATCGCCGTCGACGACCGACCCTCTGCACGAAATGGCCGCACAGCACGCCGAGGCGTATGCGCAATATCGAAGGATCGTCTGGGAGCAAATGCAGCAGAGCGTCGGGGACCTCCTCGACCGCTTCCCACTCACCAACGGTGCCGTCCCTGCCGTCCTGAGAAGGATCCTGACGTACCGTGCGTAGACTTCAAGATGGAGCACCTCGTATCGCTCTCCCATGCGACCCTTCGGCTGATTACGATTGGGCACGAGTTTAGCGGCGACGACGCGTCATCCAAGTACGCACACGCGCGTCATCGACCATTGGTTGACATATCGTCGAGTAGGCTTGCGACAGCGTTGAGCAACAAGTGCCGGAGCTTTCTCAAGCTCCAGCAAAAGGACAGCATCGAGCTCCTCCGCATGCTTTTCGACACGGAAAAGTGGGAACGACTCTCCGTCTCGGTCGAAAACCACACCGGCGGCATCCCCGCTCTCTTGGAGCAGCGCTCGGGGTACTCGCTCCCTGATCTCCAGGTGGTGCAGCGCCTTCCGGAGCGGCGTGCCAGCGACAGCGTATTTGCGCACTACCGCGCCAAGGGCAACCCATTTGCGCTCTGTTATCGCGCGACCTTCCTCGTCGTGCCCGCGATGCAGCGCTACGCGTTCGAGACGAAGCGCCATGACTTTGCATCGGACCCGGTCGCCGACGAAGAAGACAAGATGATCAAGAGACTGATCGCGATGGATCCGTACTTGCGCGGCGAGTCGGACTCGAGTATGAGCTCGCCGTTGACCGAGGAGCTCATTCGGTTTGGCTCCAAGCACGTCATGTCGTCATCGAGCCTCTCGGGCTTTTTGCGGTGCCCACTGTTTCTTGATACATTCTTGATACTAAGCGCGCCGCTGTAGATTTTGCGGTGTGTACATGAAGCTCATGGAGCAGCTACCGCATGTGGCGTGGGACATCTTTCTTGGGCTTGCGTCGCTCTTTGACTTTGTGTTTTATGCGACGCTGACGACCGCATGCCCCGACAACTACCTCGCGCGCCTCTTGACGCGCCAAACGCCGAGCGACCTCCAGTGCGAAGAGCTTCGCCAGCAGTTGAGTCGCATCCAGTCCGAGTTTGGCCTTGGCTTGACGGCGCAGTCGGTGCCCGTGCGCGTGACGCAGCTCCCGTCAGCGATCGCCACCTCGAGCGACGCCAACCGGTTTGCGTTCGTCGAGCGCGTTGTCGCGATCGAAGCGCTCGTGTTCCAGTGGCACGTGTTTTCGTCGCTCCACGCGTCGTCGCTGGCGCCATTTGTCCCCGCCGCGCGCCGCGAGATGATGGCGACGATGATGACGACGATGGGCGACGCAGTGAAAGAAGGCCGATCGTACGTCTACGCGGTCATGGCGCCGGCGCTCATTGCCGCGGCGTCGATCCCGAGCATGGTCGAAAAGGCCACGTGGGACACGCTTGATCTCTCAGACCAGCACAACGAGTATGTGGTCGCGCTCGTCCGTCGCTGTGGCATTTTCTGGGGTATTTTTCGGTATTTTCGTACTTTTTGGATAGCGCGAGTGAATTGCTAGGCACTCTACAAGGCTCGGCGGTCCCGATTTCCGTCCGCGACGAGATCTGGTCGTATGTGGTGCGGGCCATCATGGAAGCGCTAGTCGAGGGGTATGCCAGTGTGAAAAAGTGCTCGTTGGAAGGACGCGCTCTCATGTCGATGGACCTCATTGCGCTCCAGAACGGCCTCGATCTGATCAACCACGTGAGGTCCGAAGACGTGCCTCTTCTACAATCGGCTCAGATTCTGGTAGCAACCAAAACCAGACGCTATGGGGTCGGTCGTACGTCAACAACTACATCAAGGCCTACTATTTCCAGGAAGCCGAATTGCTGGCGTTCATTGCGGCCAACAAGAAGAGCTATCGCAAGGCGCACCTCGTGAGCTTGGCCATCAACGGCGTCTGCGGCCTCCGACGCGGGAGCCAAAAAGACCTCTTGCAGAAGATCGAGCACATTTACCGGTCTGGGACCCTTCTCTAATCTCAAGTTATCCCGATGCATGTGTGGCTGCCAGCGCCAAGATCGAAAACCGCCGCGTTTGATTGGCTGCCTGGCGAGGCGTCGGGTGGTTGCGATTGGCTGCTTGCGCCTGCAAATATCGATTGTGAGAGGTTGTCTTCTCTCTATGTGTTTGTATGGTATACGCTACCCAAGGTACTTGGCGCATAAGATGTCGGGGGCGCCATGCTGGCCTTTGGTTTCACTGGTGCTGGCAGGAATATTTTTGATCCGCCCATCTTCGCTCAACATGGCTTGCATCGGTATCGACCTCGGCACGACGCATGCGTGCGTCGGCGTCCACTTCAACGGCAAGGTCTCCATCATCGCCAACGACCAAGGCTTCCGCACAACGCCCTGCGTCGTCGCCTTTGAGACCGAGGACGTCGTTGTCGGCGACTCGGCCGTCGCCAAGCTCCACAACAACGCGGCCAACACCGTGTACCACCTCAAGCGCGTGCTTGGCAAGAAGCACTCGGACGTCAAGTCGCTCGACTACATCAAGGGCTGGAGCTTCGATGTCAAGGCCGATGCCAAGGGCCACGCCGTCGCCGCCGTCACGCACAAGGAGGCGAAGCGCGATGTCTCGGCGACCGAGTTTGCGTCGCTTGTCCTTGGCAAGTTGAAGGCGCTCGCTGAAGACTACACGGGTGTCCAGGTCAAGAACTGCGTCTTGACGGTGCCCCAGGAGTTCTCGGAGGAGCAGAAGACGTTGATGAACGAAGCCGCCAAGGCTGCTGGCATTGACGTCATGCGCTACATCAGCGAGCCGATCGCCGCCGCTATCGCGTATGGCTTTGATGAGACCAAGTCGATCGACACGAAGCTCATTGTTGTCGTCGATATTGGCGGCGCCTCTTCGGACATGTCGCTCTTGAGCGCCGACAAGGGCCTCTTCAACGTCGTCGGCCACGTCGGTGACGACGCGTTGGGCGGTGAGGACTTTACGTATGCGCTCGTTGAGCACTGCGTCAAGACGTTCGAGCGCCAGAAGAAGGTCGACTTGAAGGACAACACGCGCGCCTTGTACCGCATCAAGCTTGCTTGCGAACAGGCCAAGAAGTCGCTCTCGACGCAGAGCCAGGTCACGATCGAGGTCGACTCGCTCGCCGACGGCCAGGATCTCATTGTCAAGCTTTCGCGCTCGCGCTTTGAGGAGATGATTGGCGACCACGTCCGCAAGATGGTCACGGACATTGAGACGCTCCTCGAGAACGCCAACCTCGACAAGGAGTCGATCGACCACGTCATCCTTGCCGGTGGCTCGACCCGCATCCCCAAGGTCCAGGCCGCCATCGAGGCGTTCTTTGACGGCAAGAAGGCGTCGTCGACGATCGTGCCCGACGAGGTCATCGCCTATGGTGCGACTGTCGAGGCCGCGACGCTTTCGGAGACGGCCGAGTGGGACAACCTCCCGTCGGACCCGCTCAACATGGTCGAGGCCGTCCCGCTCACGCTCTCGCTCGGCCTCGCCGACGGCTCGGTCTACGAGATGATCCAGCGCAACACGGTCCTCCCGGCCACGACGCAGGAGGTCTTTACGACGCACGTCGACAACCAGAAGGCGGTGTACCTCCAGATCTACGAAGGCCAGCGCTTCATGGCGCGCGACAACACGCTCCTCGCCAACCTCACGATCTCAGGCATCCCGCCCATGGAGAAGGGGTCGCCGGAAATTGAAGTCTCGTTCAACGTCACGCGCAAGTCGGTGCTGACGGTCAAGGCCCACCTCCGCAACGCCGAGGGCGCCAAGTCCAAGGCCCTTACGGTCGAAAGCGACTCGAAGCGCGTCGTCAACGTCGACGCGATCGTCGCGGCCGCCGAAGCCGCCGCCGACGAGGACGACGCGTTGATGGTCGAGTTGGAAGAAGCTGCCGAGGCGGCCGAGCTCGCGGCCACGATCGCTGCGGCCCCCAAGATCGTGGGCGCCGGCGAAGATATGGACTAGAGTGCTAAATATTATTCCGTCACGGCCGATCCCAGTAATAGCAGCCCGTGATGCAATCCTCGCCATGTTTTGACCCACCTATTGTACAACCTACGTAGCAGCGTGCCACGTCACGTACGTGGCACCACGAGGTTCATTTGGGGTTTAGCCCTCAGTTTTGGCGCAGCATCGAGTGGCACTGGGTCCTCGATCACCTACGGATGGGCGTGCATGTAGCGCAGGAGCTCGCGCGCGTTGGCCGTGTACGCTGCCGTCGACGCCGACGTCGAGACGGGATGCTTGACGTTCTTGACGGCCGTCGCGCCATAGGCTGGGAACGCGCTCGTCGGGGGCGACGGCAATGCCCAAGTGCCCAAGTCGGCGAGCAGCGGGAAGAGCGCATCCCCGTTGAGCGCCGCCAGTGCGAGAAAGAGGCGTCGCGCGCCCTCTTGGAGACTTGGACTGGACGACGACCGCAGCATGGGGCTTGTCACGCGCGCCACGTCCATCTCGATCGACTCGAGCGCCGGTGACGCAGTGCACATGCGCGTCAAGCACTCGAGGCACTGGACGTGGATCTGGTGCGTTAGCGAATGGCTCGAGCTCGCCGCACTACTGGGAGCTAACGTCATGCCATCGACCACGAGCTCGTGGCGTGCCAAGACCGGAAGCGTCTCATGCGAGTCGACGAGCAAGAGAAGGCGCATGGCCGGCCATGCCTCCGACACAAACCGGTCGGCAAGAAAGTCGCCGCAGCGCACTGCGAGGGCCGAGAGGCAGTGCAGCGCCGCGAGTACGACAGGCTTGGCGGTGCTGCCCAGGCGCTTGACCACGGCCGGCCACACGCGCGCGGCCACGGGCCGGAGGTCGTTGAGCGGCAAAAGCAGCACAGCGTGCGATAGCACCGAGCTCGCCAAGCAGCTCGTGGCCACGTCGGGGGCCGCCATAAAGTACGACGAGCGCACAATGATGTCTTTGATAAGGTCGCGCATGGCCGCGTCGCTTGCATCCGCTTCGGGCTCGTGCTCCACCGGCATCGCCGCCTTCATCTTGCGCTCGAGGACCGCCGATTCGTCGTCCGCGTTGTCCTGGAGCATGGCATCGAGCTGCGCTTCGCTCGCCGCGTCATCGGGGGCGCCCATGTTTGGATCAAACAGCGTCTTCATCTCCTTCAGGAACGCATCGAGCTTCGAGGAACGTGGCACCACGGGGGCTGCCTCCGCAAGGTGCGGCGCGGTTGTCACGATGACCTTCATGACGCGCAAGAGGCCAGCGCTGTGGCCGCTCGAGACGTAGCGGTCGACGCTGCGTAGTACGCTCTTGATGGCGTCTTGCAACAGCGGGAGCGGCGTCGACCCGGCGTGCGCCAAGAGCCCTTCGACGACGAACGGTGTGTGCGGGTACATCTCGAGCTGCTCGAGGCGGCTGCAGAGCATGTCGATGACGTAGTCCATGTTGCCATGCAGCAAGGCCGGTACGTCATCGTACGCGCAGTGGAACGCGATGCGGTCGAGCGTCGCGGTGGCCGCTTGGTGCACGACGCTGCTGTGGCCCGCCAAATGCTCGGCGATCGGGTACAGCACGTGCATGAGCAGCGGGTGAAAGGCGATGTCGAGCGCTTCGGCGCAGCTGCCGAGAATCTCCAAGAGTACGCTCGTCGTGTCCGTCGAGTCCGCGGCCGCGCCTCCGAGACGCAGGTGGTGGCGTCCAAGAGGCGTTGCATCGACCGGCAGCGTCGTCCACTGCGGCAACTGCAGTAGCTGGTCGAGCAAGTACCCGACCATATGTACCGACAACGGCGGCGTGTCGGGTGTCGGCGATAAGTCGCCAATGTGGCCCGCGCCAAGTACAAAATGGTTGAGGACCAGCAGCAGCTCGGTCGAGCGCTCCGACTAGACACATGATAAAACTATGCGACACGCATGCCGACGCCAAGATGCCTACCTCGTTGCGGAGCTGCGCCATGAGATGGTCGATCCAGACGAGCGTCGAGCCGCGGGCGCCGATGCGCCGAAGCACTTGGGTCGCCAAGCGAACCGCGGCGTCCGACCGAATATGCACGAACCGCTTGCGGTAGTAGGCAAAGGTGACCGTTTTGGCGCTTGGCGATCGCGAGCGACTCGCTTCGTGCGCCAGCACGTGGGCGTCGACGTGGTCGATGCGCAGAATGGTCTGCATCGCACGCAGTAGGTCGGTCAGGACCGCATCAAAGGCAATACGTGTGCTCTGGTCGTAGGCGAGGACGACCTGCAGCGTCGCGCACGCCTCGGCCTCCATCTCGACGTCGGTCGCGCATTTCTTTGCGAGCGCGCGCAAGTGCGAGACGACGCGTGACGTGGCGTGGCGCGTGAGCCAGAGACCTTCGTCGGCGGTCATCGTCGCATGGAAGCGGTCGAGGGCTTGCCGCGCATACGTTTGCACATCAAGGATCGGGTCGAGACTCAAACTCAAAAGGGCCTCAAACGCCGAGAAGAAACTGGGTGCGAGCGACCAGCGGCAGTCGCACACCACGACGCTGCAGAGGGTGACGAGAGAGAGGCGCACGCGCGGCTTGGCGTGGTGTCGCTGCGAGCGGCAAATGAGGTCGAGTGCGATCGCCAGGTTGGCTTGTGTCGTCTCGAGCCAGGCGCGGGACCGGTCGATTTCGGGCTTGGACGAGTTGGGGCGGAGCAGAGGCGTTGGCGGACTCGTGGCAAATGGGGTCAGAGCCGCCTCCAAGGTGAACTCGGGCTTGGACACGAGATGGGGCCACCGGCTGTCACGCAAGCCGAGGAAGACGACCTCGCTGAGGCACTCGAGCGCCTTCGCTGGGACTTTGGAGCCCCATTTGTAGTCGGCGTGGTGGGTGAGCTGGAGCATCTTGGCGACGACACCGGGAAGGAGCAGCGCCACAACGTCCACGTTATCGATGGACCGAAGGAGCGCGATGAGCGCCTCGAGTGCTTGGACGCGGGAGGCGCGCGCGACTTCCTTCTCGGCTTGCTGCAGCAAGTACGCTACCTAGCAGCAGCTACTGTCCATGGGCTCTGCATCGAGTCGGCTGTACCGTTAGAAAAGCCACCTCGATCATCTCGTCGGTCGGAGGCGTAAAGAAGGTTGCCGGTGCGGTGCGCGTAGCAAGGAGGCCAATGCATTGCACGATGCAGTTGCGTCCGTCTTCAGTAAGAGCGCTGGATGTACTGGAGCTATCTAATGGCGGCAAGTAGACGAGCAACCTAGCATGCGCAGGATGCCAACAGGTTGATAGAGCGAGGGCGACGGACGTACGTCTTGATCATCGTGACAAAGAGGTCCGGCGTCGTCTCGAGCGGCCCGAGCTTGCAGCGTGTAAAGAGCTTGTAGAGCGCACTGAGTCCGCACTCGATCGTTGGCGGCGACACCGACCGGCCCTGCAGCATGGTATGGACGACGGCGACGGCGTAGCTCGTCCAGAGGTACTCGGTGGGCATGGCCGGCAGGCGCTCGAGCGCGGCCTCGAGCGCGGCCAGCTTCGACGCGCTGGCGTCCTGGGCGACGAGCATGATGAGCGCCATGACCTCGCGCTCGACCGGGCCCATGCGCGCGTCCATCGTCAAGATTTGCCGCGTCTGGAATACTGCGGCATCTGCCGAATTTAACAGATCCACTGTATCCAAACATACAGGACCTCAGGCACCGAATACTCGCCAAGATCGCGACTGTCGAGGTGCATGCTGCTCACGGCCGAGGACTTGCTGGCGATGGCGGCCAAGGTCGGACCGCCAACGCTGGGCGCCCACATGCAGCGAGTCCGCGCCACAGACGCGCAGGGTACGTTGCATCCCGAGCTGAAGCGGCTCAACGACGCGATGGAAGCCGAAGCGACGCGCTACGCATTGGCGATGCAGCCGTATGACCAGCAGCGCTGCGATCACGCCAGCCTCAGTGGCTGCTTGACACCGCTGCGGTCACCGCTCCAGCGTCGTCGGGGCTCCCTCGTGCTCGACATGGGTACGCGCCTCTTTCCGTGCATCCGTCATGACCCAACGAAGGGTCCCTCGTCGAGTCCAAGTCGGCTGCGTCGTCGCCAAAAGCCAAGCCGCCGGTGCAAAGCCCGCACGAGAGCCCTAGCTACCAGTCGCTCTTCCTCGCTGCGGCGCTGCAGCTCCTGGACGAGAAGGACAAGCCGCGCACGTCGCTGCCACCGTCCTTGGACGCCCACCACCCCAAGCTTCCGCCCGACACGCTCCTCGCCGGGTACCTCAAGAAGGCCAAAGACAACTCGCTCCGAACCAGCACGAAAAAGTACGCGGTCTTGACCCGGGGTGTCTTGCGCTACTACGCCGACATGGCAGCGGCGACGTACACCGAGATCATCCTCGTGCCCCGGCGCTTCCTCTGTCGTGAAAACCTCTCGCAGCGCTTCCAGCACAAGTACGCGTTCGAACTGCTCGCCACCGGGAGCGCGGCCGAGAAGCGCCAGACGAAGCTCGTCTTCATGGCCAAGTCGGAGACCGAGCGCCGCCTCTGGGTGCACGCGATCCGGGCCGTCGTGAACGCGTCGCCCGTCTCGCCCCGCGCCATCGACGGCGACTGCTACGCGTTCATTTTGCTCCAGCGCCAGATCCAGGACGCAAGGCGCAAGGACGCGTACGTGCACGCGCTCCGGAGCGCCACGCACCACGAGCTCTGCGTGCCCGTCGAGTGGGTGCACAGCCAGCTGCAGCAAACGCGGCAACATCTCGGCGAGAGCGGCATGGACCAAGTGTTCAAGGACCTCGGGCGCGACCGCGTGAGCATCAACGGCCGCGTCTACAGCGGCGCCGACGGAACCGAGAGCGTCGTGGGTGCGTTGGCGCAGGCCTTTATGGACGTGTGCGACGACCTCACGGAAGCGCTTGCGCTTGATGTGGTGCGTAGCGTCCTGCTGTCGTGCAACCGGACGCAGTCGGGCGGCGACACGTACGAGACGGTCGACTACCTCTACCACAATGCGAGCTTGGTACGCTGCCTCCTGCTACAGTGCTTTGATGAGGATCCTTCAGGTCGTGTTGTGCCCCAGTGCACGCGAGGCAGCACCGCTCGAGATCAAGGTGGTCTTGCGCGATACATGCCCCGAGCTCGCGGCTAGCTTGGCGTCCGACGACCTGGGCTACGTTCCCCGGCAACAGTATACGACCAACCTGTCATAGTTGCGTGCGATGGAGCTTATGTGACGTTTAGCTCGCTCGTGCTACCCACCAAGGTCGAGCAGCATCGCCCGTCAATGGCGTCGGCCATCTCGTTTGGCGACGACCTCGACAGTTCGTTCTTGCCGGCAAAAGCACTCAACCTCTTTGCCCGCGAAAAAGAGTCGGTCGAGCTGGTCTCGTTCGCGGGCGAGAAGATGCATGTGGCGATCGTTGCCGCCACGTCGTACAAGATCTGCGATGCCAACCCGCAGGGCGATGCGAGCCTCGATACCTGGGCGATCGTCGATGCGGTCTTTGAGCAGTCGTTCGTGTACGCGCCAACGTACGGTGTCCTCGAAGGCAAGGGCACGGTCCGCGTCGCCACGCGCAGCGTCTGCGCCACGTAGAGCGATACAACATCGTCGTCGTTCCCGAAAGACATATATATAGAGAGCGCACAAGCCGTCTTACTCTTCCTTCTTTTGGATGATGAGCGGGCCGACGTTGTCGCCTGTCTCCTTGTTGTGCTTGGCGTGGGCGCCATCGCAGAACGGAAACTAGGCCACCAAAGAGATGAGCCACGATATGATGCTAGCATCGATGTGCATACCTTCTTGGACTTCCAGCAGCGGCAGAGCACGCACTTGAGCGAGCCCTTCTGGAACATGTCTTCAATGTCGCACGTGTCGACGACCTTGTCCTTCTCGAGTGAGATCGACTTGTTGATGCGGGCTGGCGCCGCCTTCTTGCTGCCGCTGCCAAGCCCGGCAAAGATCGAGTAGAGGAGCACGGCGACTGTCACGAGGAAGGGCGCGAGGATCATCAACTCCTCCGTCGTGAGCTTGGCAAAGCCGGCGACGTTGCTCGGGATCGGCAGCGACTTGAGGTACTTGGGCAGGCGGATCTTGAGCGCGTGGCGGACCGCTTCCATATTTTCTGAAATTCGAAGCCGGGGAAATTCACTACTGATGCCACCACACGTTCTGCATTGACGACCGGATACACCATCCGGCGACCCGGTGACGTGGCATAGCCACGCGCCTCTTGCCGTTGCCATCAACCGCAAAAAGCTTCGGAAGCGAGGTGGATCGACTGGACGCAACGAGGTGCATGACCGGGCGTGTCATGCCAATACGAGTCAAGAGCTTGGGTATCCGATGCTACTGCTCACCGGGCGGAAGAGCGCAAATGGAGCCGGGCACGTCTTGCTCATCGTTAGTCGCCTGGCGACGCCGAGTGAAGCCTTGACGGCGCTTCGAAAGGTCCCTCGCATTCGACAGGCACTGCGTGGTCACACAACGTGGCGTCAAATAACGAGCGCAGTGGTCGGTCGAAGAGGTCGTTGGCAAGGCGTCGCGAGAGGCAGCGCTTGCTCTGGCCAAGAGTGTCCTGGGCCAATAATCCTCGAATTTGTAAGGGCAAAGATCGCGGCGCTTCGGTACCAATCAGCGCAGTCTTGGATGCGAGAAGATCCGTTCGCTGACGCCTTTGAGCGCGCGGCGGTCAGCGACCCCAATGCACTGGTGACGCCGCACGAGCGGTATATCTCGTACAAATTCCACGCGCTCGAGTCGACTGTGGCGCTAGATCGACCTTCTTGACGGACCTCCATGCCCGCGGGCTGCTTCCAGACGCCTACTTGCACAAGATCCAAGCACTCTGGGTATTGCGCTGCCGCAACGAGTTGTCATGTGCGCGCTGCATTAGGACAAGGAGAGAGTCAGCGTAGCTTTTGAACACTTTCAAGCGCTCTTGGCGCGCGCGCTTGGCGACGCTAGCGCCGACGAGGCGGCCGCAGCCATTACGACCGAGATCTCGAACAAGGTATCCCGACGCTGCAAATGAGCGAGATGCGATGCTTCTGTTGACCTAGCTCGCTTTTCTCTGTCACCTCGTGCAGTCGTGGGACACGGCGTCGTTTGGTGAGCCCGAAAAAGCAGCGCTGGTGGCCTACACGACCAAGCTAGCAACTGAGCATGCTGCCGCGGTGGCTCTACTCTAGCTACGAGCTTTCGCATAAACCAGCATGTAGGAAGACAAGGTAGAGCGCTTGGTAGCCACAATGGCTGCGGAACTCGGTGCGCACCAGCACAAGGCGCTGGTGCATTGCCCCATCGAGGCGCATCCGCAGTATGGAACGACCCCTCGGTTCCACGAAACAAAGCACCCGACTACGTACCAAGCGGCGCACTCGACGCAGCTTGAAAAGATTGCACGAAGTCGCGACTTTCACAGTCTCCGGATGCACGCTCAGAGCGAGTCGGTGGCCAACACCTTTGGTGTTCTCGACGTACGGCACCGTGACTGTAGCGTGTTGTCATGGCGCAGTGCGTAGGAGCGCTGGGCGACCAGGCTGCAGCTGTACCTTCAGAGCTACGAGCGCTCAACGAGCAGCGGCCGGACCAGCGGCCGTCTCGAGGTTGTGGCGGTTCCAACCACGGCGTACCAAACAGCAAAATTCACGGACGAGGGGCAAATGCTTGCATGTGTAGCGTCCTTCTCGAGAGCGTTGCGCGCCTGGATCGACTCGCCGCCGTACACTACGAGGTAGACCACTTGCGCTGGTACATCGAGCTCAACGCGATGCGCAGATGGGCCGCAGCCGGTTCTTCCGAAGCTTTTACGGAACCGACATGGACACTTCTGCACACTTTACATTCTACTACTTTGAGTACGTCCAGGTACACGCAGACAGAGACAAGACGTTAGTTGGTCAATCGTGTCATCGCTCGACTAGGTCGTTTCGCTCTCGAGCTTGCTCTTGCGGCACGGGTGCCTCGCGCTCACTTCCCACTTGTTCAAGTGCTACATGCGATACATAACACCGTAGCTCGATGAACGTAAACTAGGTACCTTGGCCACACGCTGTTGTACGCCTGCGTCGACCTCGTCGAGCAATGCAACCATCGACTCGAGACGGATGTACGATGGGCGTTGCGGACACGTCGTATAGTATATTGTAGCGTATGACGTGGCATCATGTGCTGCTTGCACCCGACGACCTGCGGCTGTATTGGGCGACGCTGCCGCTAGGCGACGCCCTCGACCCGTGTGCGCGGTAATTCCATCATCGAGCAAAACGTCTTCTATGCGGGGCGCCATAGCGACCCACGCGCCCGGCAAGACGACGATCGAGAAGTCGGTCTATTAGCCTTTTTTGCTGCGTGCGTACGACAGCTGCTTTTGCCTACGACGATACCGCGCCCGTCCAGTGGTCGTGTGCGAACCACAGCAATAAGAGCTTATGTGACCCAATAGCAACGTCTCAGCGGCGTTTGTTCGAGTTTCCTCGGCTGCTCCATGCCAACGACGTTGTCCGGACGCCGTCGGGGCACCCGATCGTTACGGTCGGTGTCGCTGACTCCTTTGAACTCTGCTTCTGCACCGACGACGACGACGAGCGCTGGGCGTGCTATGCATTCGAGACCGTCGGCGGTTCCTCGCCTCTTCTTGCACCACTCGAGGTACTTGCGGACTATTTCTCGCTCAGCTGGCAACAAACGCAGGACACGAACGCCCGCAACACGTTTGCGTACTGCGCAACGACGGCCGGCGACATGCTCTTGGCGTTTGAGACTCTCGGTCGCAACGAGCGACGGACGATGACCGTCCACATCCGCGTACATGCAGAGCGTCTTGACTCTGTCGTCGAGGTACGTCGGACGTCGTCTCGGAGAAAGATGCGAATGGGCGCGTAGGAAATCATTGCGGCCTGCACCACATCGCCGCCGACTCTGTCGTTGCAGCAGCTACTCTTGCACCCTCTCTTTACTGGCTGGGATGACGAGCAAGTGATGCTCGACTACGACGCACAGTTTCGCTGAGCATCGTACGAGACATAGGACAATGCATCCAATTGCTTAAGGTTACACGTCCCGCGGCAAGGCAGCAGCGCTCGGTTCCTGTCGCATCTCGGCTGAGCACCGGTGTTCGTGGTCTGAACTTTCCCAGTGCAGCGTCATTCGCAGACAAAACTCGGAGCGCGCTACTCGGGTGGCAACTCGCATCGGCTATATAATGGTTTGGCGATGGACGATGGCAGCCAGCATCTCGAGGCGACCACACCAAAAGAGGTTGCGTGGCCGCCTGTCATTCGCGTAGCTTCGTCCGCGGCGCCAGGTGTTGATCGACATCAACGTTGGGGCGGTGGTGCCCCGGTTACACTTGTCACGCGCCGCACTCTTCTTCTTCAAAGGGCGCGGCGACTGGTGCGGGAGGCGGAATGCTTGGGACGTCGGCGGGGTCGTATGACGCTTGGTATGCGCCGTAGTGCTTGCTTATATACGCGAAAAGCGTCACGTCGACGCTGGCATTCCACATGGAGGCCGTCGACATTTGAAAGAGCCCGATCCACGAGATAAAGTTGATGAACTTGGTCTACGCAAGAGCTATGACAGGTGTGCACATCATCATCGCCCATACCATGGGTGTGTACGCGTTGTAGTAGCGCAGACTCTGAAGCACTTGCAGCACCGGCTGCGAGAGCACGAGCGGAAAGGCAAAGACGCACATAAGGAACGGCCCGTACCCGCGGCGCTTGGCGGCACCAATGTACAGCGTGCGCGCCGTGTAGCCCACGAGGAGCATGGTGATGATGACAGCCAACTTTTTGGAGAGGAGGAGCGTGCTGGACGATGCCGTCGTGCCAGCACACGCAGTAAGAAAGTTGGTCGCCACCACCGGCCACGATCAGCAGCCCACGAACGACGGAATGTAGAGCTGTGCGTCGACATGAGTTGTGGCGACCGCGCCAGAAAGGACGTACCAGCGCTGTGACGAACGACGAGTACGCCGAGCGCAGCGTGCTTGTGACGCCGTTGTCCATGGCGAAGGCCGGCTTGGCGTTGTCGTACGGCAGCAGCGCGTCGCCGTCGTCATCCTCGAGGCCGCTGTGGGCGCCTCGGTGGTAGACCGTCGACTCGGCCATCGTGGCAAAATTGGTCACTGCCGCGTTGCAAACTGGTCGAGGTACCTCTATAAATGAATATCCTATCAGTTTCTGCGTCGGCACTCTAACGTGGTGGCGTGTCACTGCGACCGCCGCGCGCTCGTGCTCGCAGTCGATTGGCTCATGGTATCTGTATCTTGGTTCTTATTGGTCCGCCTCTCCCTGACTTGTCATCCAATCTGGGACAACTGGTGATGCGACCTGAACGATATTTGATTTTGTCAGATCTGAGCGATCACCGGCAGCAAAAGCTGACGTGCGCTGGCACCGGGAGCCGTCCAAGCGACCCAAGCGCATAGACCGGCGTTGCGCGGAGCACCCGCATGGGCTTGGGCAACGGCGGCGGGGTCGCGGCAAGGCCCTTCGGCTGCGGCAGCATGTCGAAGAGCGTCTTCATGCGGCGCTGCGTGAGGGGTGGAAGCCGGCGGGTCGTGAGCCCGGCGTACACGGCGTCTTGCTTGCGAAACTTGGCCCGTGCGAGCTGTTGTACCTCGGGCGCGTAGGCGGAGAGGCGCTGGAGATCGTTCAGGAGGCGCCAGCGCGCGTGGCGGTCGCGCGACTGCTGCCGGCGCAGGTCGACGTCGGCGTCCTGGATGTGGGCCCGCATCGCGACAAACTTGGCAACGAGGGGCGAGTGCGTCGTCATGGCTTCCCCTTCTGCTGTCCTTGAAAGAAAAGCGCAAATGCAAGAGGCGACCAAGAACAAGGTCAACAAAGGCTGGCTACTCGCCATCCCCAATGTCGAGCGCAATTGGCCTATCCAGTACAAATCATCGGCGTCGAACCCTCGACGTCGATCCATTGGCGGGCTTTTCTGTACTATGTAAGGCAGTCGACACCCTGTCGCTACACATGCCAGCTGCGTGCCCATCGTGCTTGGTCGCACGACAACAGTCTGAAGGGCACGCGATGCGCAAGCGTGTTCATTGGCGTCTTAGCGTCTTAGCGTCTTGGTCGTCCCACTGCATTGGCCGAGACTCTACGTCGACGCCGGGGCATAGACGGTGTAGTTGGTGAACACGGTTTTCGTGGGCGTCCAAAAGGGCACATAGAACGCACGTGCAACCCGATCGGACGCTTCGGCAAGCAAGAACGGCTCGGCGTACACCGGGGTCCACGCCGGATGCGAGGCCAAGCTCGGTTCGTCCGGGTGCGCCATCGACGCAGGGACATCCCGATCGACCACAAAGTCGCACGTCGCCATGTCTACGTAGCGCGACACCTCTTCCAAGTTGAGGTCGTTCATGTGGGAGGGCACGTCATACGTCGAGGCAAAGTGGCCTGGGAGCTGCCCACGAAAGCCGCTGCGGACGAACGCCATGCGCGCATGGTTTGGGAGGAAAAAGTGCGACGGAAACCGGTGCCACTCCTTCCCGACGCAGACGCGGATCGGCGTCGAGCTGTTCGTACTCGCTTCAATGTGGTCGTGAAGGAACTGGTAGACCTTGAGCGGCGCGCCGTACTGCGTCGTAATGCTGACGACCCGCATCGTCGAGAGGCACACGTATGCAGTGAGCGCAAGTGTCACAAGCACGGGGGCGACGGGGCGGGCGACGCGGCGCGCAACGCGGAAGAACGTCGCGAGCGTCCACGCGGCCGCCAAGCACAAGTACGGGTACACAGGATACAAGAAGCGCTCCTCCTTGTGCGGCTGGAGGAACATGATGCCAAGCCACAGGTAGAGCGGGGTGAGGTGGACGAAGCGCAGACCGCCATGGGCGAGGGCGATGGGCACGCTGACGACCGCGAGGGGCAAGCCCACGTTGAAGTTGAGCAAGAGGTTCACAGCGTAGTACGTCCACGGCTCGACGCCGTAGAGCTCCGAGCCCGCCGAGACGACGTTGTACAGGACAATGTTGATTGCCGGGAGCAGCCACGCGTGGTAGAAGTAATAGTTGGTCGCGACTTCGAGGCCGACAATGAGCCCGAGCACGAGCACGCCGGTGACGATCGGCCGGACGACGCCAAACGCGAGAACCGACTGGAGGGCAAAGGGGACGCACATGACGCCGACGTACGGCCAGCCGCAGACGACAGCGATCACGCCGGACGCGAGCGCGGGCGCGCTGAAGCTTTCGCCTTGGGTCGTCATCCAAAAGCCCGAGAAGAGCATGAGGAGGTACGTGACGAACGAGCTCGGCAGAAAAGCTGTGGAGGCTTGGAACATGCCGCTGTTGCACGCGAGCAAGACGAGCGTGTAGCGACCCACGCGCGGCCCGTAGGCTTCGACGACGCCACGGTAGAAGGCGGCTTCGCAGAGCGCGGAGGCAAAGCCCAGTGCCGTGCGCAGGCCAAAGAAGAACGCGAGCTTGGACGAGCCAAAGAGGACATTGCCGGCGACCTTGCCCAATACGCCGTGCACGACAAGGTACAAGTACGACCGCAGCGCGTACAATGGGCTGTACTCCCACGTCTGGAAGCCATGGCCGTAGAGGAGGTTGTGCAGCGGCTCCCAGTAGTTGTACGCTTCGTCGCAGTCCGACTGGATGTTGACGAGCGCCGAGATAAGCCGGACGATCGCCAGGAACGAGAAAGTCGAGTGCAGATTGGGCGCCCACAGGCGCGCGTCCTCGTCTTGCGGCGGCGGCGCCTTGGTCGCTGGCGGGCTATCGGCCCCACGTCGACGCGCTGGCATATTGAGTGTGACGCTGAGCGGTGACGCAGCGCGACGCGTTTTTCGTTTTGCCCCATTCGGCACATGTGCCACAATTAAAAATTAATTTCGGCACAAGCCCACCAGCTGCAGGCGGCTTGACACGCATGCACGGGTTGGATCCACCGAGCAATGGACCGCTTCCTGCGACGACAACAGAGAGGAGAGAGGGCGGACAATACTACGAGGCGAGCCGTGAGCTAGACCAGAATCGTTTGCTCCGTACAAGTCTCTTTATAGACAGGCAGCCAGTACACTACGTGAGGCATACAGGCCAGCGAGCTCAGCTCGAGCTTTCGCCGTCTTCGTCTTCTTCGTCGACCTGCTTGAACTCGTCGTCGAGCCCCATGACGGAGATCGGAGCCGTCATGTGCACGTCTTCGGAGGCGCTATCGTTGCCCGCCGTGTCCTAGAGATCCAATGAGTGAGAGAACGATCGAGTCCCATCCGACGTACTTGGCCTCCGAGCTGCTGGAGAAACTCCTGTCGGAGCTTCTCGTGGGCCGGGATTGGCTTGGTGAAGCGCAGGCTCGAGCCCGGTTCGTTTTGGTACATGGTTTCCAGGGACTTTTCGACGCAGGCGTCGATCTGCTCGACGTACGATTCGGGGTGGCGTCGGAACCTACATCGCATGAAGCCTCCAGTTGCACCATGATTGGTCTCTCACATTTCGAGTGCTCGAGGGTTGGCGACGTTGCGCAGGTCGGAGGCAAACTCCTTGGTGTAAAAAATGCTCTTCATGTACACGAGGACCGACACGATATAGTGAAGATCCGGGTCCCACGTCGGAAACTTGGGCAGCAAGTCGAGCTCGTTCGTCTAAAGCCGATGGTTAGACCATGCCGATGGTAGATGTACGCACGTCAGGGTTCACGAACGGGTGAAAGACCTTGGTGTAGAACTCGACGCGCGGGTACGTGCCAATGCCGTTGTAGCTACGACCAGCCAGCGAAAATGAGGTTTCGCCCATGGCAATCGCGCCTACTCGTCTGGAAGATGGATCGAGAACTTGAAGATGCCATTGCGGTAGAGGCCTTGGTGGATGAAGATGACACCGTGCCACAGACGGGGCTTGTCAAAGCTCGGGAGGACGTAGATGCCGCTGGGCACATGCTGCTTCATGTGCTTGTACTCGATCATGAGACCGTAGTCCTTCATCGTCTGCGTCCGGTACTGGTGCAGCGACGTGAGGTTGGCGGCCTCGGGCTTCTTCTGGCTCGGCGCTGGCGTCGTCATGGGCCGTGGCAGCGATGGGTTCACGTATTTAAACGCCCGAGCTTCCTCCATTCCGGATAAGTCGGTTCTGGATACGACCCTGCGCCCAGTTTTACCTCTCATATTTGATCTTTCGGCCTGTCTATCCGTAGACTATATGCACGCCATTCTATAGTTCAAATGACGCACTTGGATAGCGATTGAAGACGTAAAGCGGCGTGTAAATAGCTGCTTGGCCGGCAATCAAAATTAGCGCCATATATGCATTGCTAGAGGTTGCACGCGCAACCGTGGTGGTTGGTTTTCACACTTCAACCCGGAAGATGAAGTTCGACGAGTGCCAACCTCCGCTCTGCGCCGAAGTCCTCGCGGGCGTCGCCGAGATGGGCTTCACGGACATGACGCCCGTCCAGGCCGCGACGATTCCGCTCTTCCTCACCAACAAGGACGTGGCTGTGGACGCGAGCACGGGCAGCGGCAAGACGCTCTCGTTCGTGCTGCCCATCGTCGAGATGCTGCGCCGCCGGTCGCAAGCCACGACCGACGACGACGCGGCCAACATTGCCACGAAGAAGCAGGTCACGCAGCTCATGGCAATGATCCTCTCGCCGACGCGCGAGCTGGCACGTCAGATTTACGACTGCGCGTGCTTCTTCTTCTCGCGGGCGCTACCGAGCGTGCAAGTGATTCTCTTTGTCGGTGGCACGAGCGTCGACGAAGACATGGCCTCGATCCGCGCCGCGAGAGGTCGCATGAGCGTCATCGTGGGTACGCCCGGCCGCATTGACGACATCCTCAACCGCGTCTCGGCCATGGGCATCCTCGAGACCAAGGAGTTCGAAGCGCTCATCCTCGACGAAGCCGATACGCTCCTCGACATGGGTTTTGAAATGAGCATCACGGCGATTCTCGGTCGCTTGCCCAAGCAGCGCCGGACGGGCCTCTTCTCGGCGACGCAGACGCAGGAGGTCAAGGCGCTCGCCCGCGCCGGTCTCCGCAACCCCGCGACGGTCTCGGTGCAGCTGGCTGTCGACCAAAAGACGCCGACGACGCTCACCAACTGGTACGCCGAAGTCGAGTACGACGCCAAGCTCGCAGCCCTCATCCAATTTGTCGCGGGTCGCCCGAACGAGAAGTGCATCGTGTTCCTCTCCACCTGCGCGAGCGTCGATTTCTTTGGCAAAGTCCTCGAGATGCTTCTGCCCGACCTTGCGGTCGTGAGCCTCCACGGCAAAATGGTGCCCAAGAAGCGCATTGCGTACTACGAGGCCTTTGTCAACCAGAGCGCCGGCCTCCTCGTGTGCACGGACGTGGTCGCGCGCGGTATCGATCTCCCAGACGTCGACTGGATCGTCCAGTTTGACCCGCCGCAAGACCCAAACTTCTTTGTGCATCGCGTCGGCCGCACGGCCCGCGCCGGTCGCAACGGCTCGGCGCTCACGTTCCTCTCGGCCAACGAAGATGCGTATGTGAATTTCCTGCGCATTCGCAAGGTCCCGGTCGCCAAGATGGACGACTTGGTCGTCGACGACGCCAAGCGTGTCGGGATCCTTGAGAAGGTCAAGGCCTTCCAGATGACCGATCGGGATGTGCTGGAGAAGGGCACGAAGGCCTTCATCTCGTTCTTGCGCTCGTACAAGGAGCACCAGTGCCAGTTCATCTTCCGGTTCCGCGATCTGGACTTGGCGCGCGTCGCGGTCGGCTTTTGCCTCTTTCAGCTGCCCAAAATCAACGAGCTCCGCGCGCTCGAGTCGATCCAGTTTGAGCCCGCCGGTGTCAAGGTCGTCGACATTCCGTACAAGGACAAGGCGCGCGAGAAGCAGCGCCAGGCCAAGCTCGTGACGATCGCGGCCGAACACAAGGCGGAGAAGCTCCAGAACTTTGAGAAGAAGCAAGAGAAGAAGCGCAAGGAGCTCGAAGCCAAGACGGACGGGCCGCGCCGCCGTGAAAAGAAGAAGGGCGCGCACCAGCAGATCGTCGAAGAGTGGGACGAGCTGGACCGCGAAGAGCGCTTGTACAAGAAGTTTAAGCGCGGCAAAATCACCAAGGCCGAGTACGACGAGGCGCTGACCGGCACGGTCGCGTCCGACTCGGAGGCCGGCAGCGACAATGACGACGACGAGGACGGGCCGAAGAAGAAGAAGGCCAAGGTCGACAAGCGCTTCGAGAAGAAGGAGCAGATCAAGCGCAAGACGAGCGAGCAAAAGGAAGAGGCCAAAAAGCGCGAAGCCCGCATTCGCACGCGCAAGAAGCAGGAGCACGTCAAACGCGCGCAGGCCAAGGCCAACATCCGGAGACGCTAAGCCAAGACGACTCGTATTCTCACTTAACCACCACCATAAATACAACCAGTACATCGAATTCAGTCGATCTCGACTTGGCTAAGAGCTCGACAGATCCGTCGCTGGCAGCGACTGCGCAACCCGATAACGAGCGCGGTGAGATCGCTCGAACGGCAATACGTGGCTCAGCCCATTGGCCCTCGCAGACATCAACTTAGTTCTTAGTCGAAATTGCGTGCTCGAGAAAGTACGCGAGCACTAGTGGGAGTTGTAAACTCGACCGCGGATCCCATTTCGCTATTGCCGAAGGCTGGGGGGCACCGTCCACATGGCTGCGCCCGTCATGGTGTTGTAAAAGTAGCTCAGGCCCGTTGTCGGGTCCACTGCTGCTTGGTACGTTGCGGCGGCGACCGCCCGGAGTGCTCGCCGGGCTTGGCGCCGGCGGTACAGTCCCTGGATCTTCATGGCGGCCTCTTGGAGCCCAAGCGCGCGACGGCGTGGCGCCGGTTGGTGCAAGAGGCGCAGTGCCCAGCGTGCCGTCGTGTGGCCCGACGGGTATTGGGTAGCAGGAAACCGACTTTGAAGCGCCTCGAGAAGGAACTTGGCCGAGTGCACTTGTGTCGACGAGAGGCTCCGCCGGACGTCGCCTACGTTCTGACGATGAGAAGGAGGATCGTACGTATCGTCCGTCGGACGGAGACAACCGTGGCGAAAGAGGTGGCCAAGTACAGTTGCACTCGCCTCCTGGAGCTTGAAATCGTCGGTGAACGTCTTCATGGCGGCAAAGACCACGTCCAGCGCAGCGCTCTGGAGCGCACTCATCGCACCCGTCCCATCGGCGGGTCCTACGCCCTGTCATGGTCATTGCGACCCTAGTGTTACGAGTGGTACCTGAACCGAGCACGACGACACGAAGCGCTTCGCAGCCAGTGCGCTGGACACCGCTGACGCTCGCGTAGCGTGCCATCCATGCCACAATACCAGTGGCACCGAGGTGCGTCGCTGCCACCGCATCGACCACGTAGCTGGTCGACGACGAGACTACCCATCATTGTGTCGTCAAAGTGTAGGGTTGGGGTAACCATCGTACCGGCGCAGGTCCAGAAGGCGGGCGACGGCGGGGAGAAGGGTCCCCAGCCGCCAGCGTTGCGCGCGCGGACGCGGAAGCAGTAGCCAGCGTCGGGCAGAAGACCGACGGCCGTGGCAGTCGTGGTAAGCGACACGGCTTCGTGCACGACGTGGTCGTACGCGCGGACAAGGTACGTCCCGACGAGGCGCCACGTCTTCCTTTCACAAATGAGTGTGTCCGTCGAAACGCTGGAGGTGGAACTGACCTCGCACGCGCGACCAATGCCCTTGAACTCGACGTGGAAGCCGAGGATGGGCGAGAACGGCTGGCGCGGGTTGGCAACGGGCGAGGGCGCACTCCACATGACGGTGATCGACGTGAGCGCGTTCGTGGGGACCAGCGTCGGGGCTGCCGGCACCACACTCGGGGGCTCTACACCCGTGGATGAGTGGCGGCCAGTGAATAAAGTGCATCAACGAATCTATACTCGGCGCAAAAGCGAGTGGAAAGTCGACAAGCGATAATTTGGTGCTAAATTGCGGTGTCTGCTCGAGCGACGGGCCGAGTGCTTGGGCCAGCGCCGCCTTGCGCTCCGTGGGCTTGCTCCGCTCGGCGTAGCAGTAGGCGTCGTACTGGACCCGCGAGACGACATAGTTGACGACGTCGCGCAGGTAAATGTATGGCAGTTTGGTGCTGTCCTCGGCCCAGTTGCCGTGGTAGTCGAGAACGCCTTGCGAGACGCCCGCCCCGCGAAACGCATCCAAGAGTCGGCGCGGAAAGAGGCTTTGGACCGTGTGGTCGTCGGCGCTATAGAGCGCCGTCTACGCCGCCGTGGCATCGGCTGCGAGCGTCGCGGACGTTACCTGTGTGCGGGTCTTGCAGGCTTCGAGGACGAAAATCGGGAGGTCTTCCTTGGCCCCCGAGGCCCGCTTCTCATGGAAAAGAGTCAGAAGACGCGTGGCCATCTCCGAATGCACGCGGCCTTTGATCGCCGTCTCGGTCACATTCGGCGCCACGTCCTGGTCCTGGCAGACGTCGAGCGCGATACATTTGTTCGTCGACGGGATGCCTATAAGAAATACGACATATCTAGGATGGCAACGGCGCGTACGAGACAGAGCGTCCACAAGCTTGCGCTCGTGCATTGCGGTGAGCGCGAGTTCTTCGATCGACGAGAGGCGCGACTCGGGAAAGAGCACGAACGAGCCAAGGTGCGGCCCACTCACGACGCGGACACCATGCGACTAGTCCAGACGTTGACCTGTTAGGTTTGGAATCGAGCCGTACAATGATGAGCAAGAAGAACGAGCCGTTGACAGGTACAGCTTCAAACGATGCAAGCTCGACGTGGAACTCGACAATGGACGGGTTCACAAGCAATTTGCACTGGGCTTGCTTGAGCCCACCGAGCACCGGGTCCGTCAAAAGCTCATGCAGCGCCTCGACAGCGCTGCGCGCAGAGGGCGGTATCGGAGGTAAATGTGCACCTTTGAAGTGCGTCATGACCACGAGAAGCGCTGTCAGCGTTGGTGTCTCGGACGCGATGCCAGCACCACCGAGAAGCGATGGGACTTCAAAGTCCTTGGGCGTCTTGACCGGTGGCGGTGGCGCATTCACGCTGGCCAACTCGGGCTTTTTCTTTTTCTTAGGGGACGTCTTTGCGGACGCGTTGTCTCGTAGCGCGCGCTGGGCTGCCTCCTGCGCCCGCTCGGCCTCCTTGGCGGCCTTGAGGCGCGCAGCCTCTTCGCGCCGAAGGGCCTTGGCCGCCCGGGCTTGGTACGCCTTGCGTTTTTCCAGCACCTTCTTGAGGAGCTTGCGGGCCTCGTCGTCGGTCGCGACGGTGTCCGCGACCGGCTGGATCGCGGCGGCGGTGTCGACAGCTTGCATCGGATGCGATCTTGGGCTAAAAACACGCAGTTTGCACGACAGTGTTGACCTATCACTTGTCTCTAGTGAGCAACGGCGCGGACGAGGTTTGCAGGAGCTTTTGGACTCGGACGAATGTGGATGTAATCGACTTGGTCCAGCGTCGCAACGATATCACTTGTAGTATCTTCACGCTTGCATGGCTTTGAGGGCGTGCCAGACGCGCGCCGAATCGCGTGACCAACGACGTTCTCGCCGTGGGACAACCGACAACCGACACGACGCCGATCTTGTGCGGCTTATTTGGGTGTTTTTATCCGATCTTGACCCTGCTATTTCCACGAACGTGCTTGCCGTTGGATGACTTGAAGCGTGACGCCGCGATGGTAAGGACGCGCCGTGTCAAGACAGCTGGTTCCTGAGACAAGCCGCCTCGCCCGAAGTTCGAAGCCGAACGATGTGGCAGATTGGGTGGTGTTCGCTCGTCAAAACCACACATCGCTAAGAAAACGATCTTATTGCAACTCGCCTCGGCCTCGGTGGAGGCGCGCGCTTGCGACCGATGGCACGCGTCCCGCAGTGCTTGTCGAGGCACGGTCCCGATGGCTTGTTACTCCGCGTAATGCGTAATGGCGGCGCCCCCATAAGTGCGCGACAGTGTCGATACTACACGGCGGTCCAATGATCCGCACCTAATCTTCTCGGCTGTAATTTTATTGGTCGAAACCAGATCTTTCGCGGGTAACCTTGTGCGCTGTATGGCTGTCGGAGCTATTTTTTTACTGGGGGGCAAGTTCAAGCCTGGAGAACGTTGTCCCGAAAGATCGCGCCAATCACACGCGCGTATCCTATTCAATGGCCAATCAGATCCTGACCAGGTGGGGCCTTTCAATGAGGGAGGAAAAAAGCGATCCAAGGCGCGAGCTAGTAATCCAAGCGAATAGATCTTTGGGGATTCGTGATTGGCCAACGCGGCGGTGTAAAAGTTGAGTGGTTTTGAATGCCAAGGTCCGTTTTTTTAAAATTTGCGCTGTAGGGGTCGGGGACAGCACAGGATTTATTTAAATATCTTGCGCACTGTATGCGAACGCTGCCGAAATCCACATCCGGACGCCGTCTTTTTTTGTTGACGGCGCGGCGCTTGGCGATCTTATTGGCGTCGGCCGCGTCACGTAATTAAATGGCAGAAAAGAATAATAAATTAATATGATTTAAATGGAGATGACGCGAGAAGAAGATACACGGGCCGATCTATGGGCAAAGATCGGCGTCCAATAGTAAAAGATATCGAGTGTTGGTGGGCGTTTGGCGGGGATCCGTCCATTCGATTGTACAATGTACGGTGTACGTACGGAACGCGACAACAAAGGGGGAGAGGAATGGACGATGATGGACGTACGGCGGCTATTTTAAAAAGCCAGTAAAAAGTCTACATCGCCGGCTAAAAATAATAAAATAAAAGAGACAGCAGTTTGCAACTTTCGAGCCGAAAATCACATCCGCGCGGTCAAGACAGGTAGGCGGGATGGATCATCGGCCTGGACGACGCCGATCCTCATGCTCTCGTATGCTGCGTAGGCCTCGTCCCGCGCCTGCTAGAGAGAGACCCTGCCCGCCACATAGACACCACCGAGCCATGGAACCCCGCAAGATCGACGTCGCATGGGACGGCAACCCCGAGGCAAAGGAAAACATGGCTGCGTACAACAACACGGTTGTCGAGCCCAAGATGGCCATGGACCTCGCCAGTGCGGCCAACACATACTACATGACCAAGCCGCACGACGTACGTGACCATGCGCTTGCCGTGCTCCCATGGCCGGGGATCTTACACATGCTGTGTATCATATCTAGGACCACCCATGGCGAGGAAAGTCCGCGTTTGGCTTTGCAACAATCCTGAACCGCAACTCGTGCGACGACATGGGCGCCAACGGCCCGCTCTCGGTCAACCTGCCACCGTTGCAGTCATACCACGCCGCCTCGTCTCTGGTCGAGAAGGCCAAGCTCACGACCAGTTCTCGGCTCTCGGCGCACAAGGTACCGCACCGCCCGATGCCGACGCCGATCGCGCCGCTCGGCGAGGCCATGATCGACATGTCGGGCCTGCAAAACCGGTCTTTGAAGCTCAAAATCAAAAAGAAGCATGTCGATATCTCGCCGGCCTACACGGCGCAGCCCAATGGCCCGATGCTCGCGCCGACGCCCAGCAACGGCGCGCCACGCAAGCTACCGCTCGCTCCTGCTCCGTCCATGGACGACGACGACGATGACTCTGGCGACGATGACGGCGAGAACCCGACCGGTGCCACCCACAACGGCGCCGCGCTTCGCGGTGGCCGGTGGACGTCGGAGGAGCACGAACGGTTCCTCCAGGGCTTCCGCTTGCATGGGCACAAGTGGAAGCGCGTGCAAATGGTCGTTCGAAGTCGCACAGTGACCCAAGTCCGGACGCACGCTCAAAAGTACCTCTTGAAGCTGCAAAAAATGTCGGGCGGCCCCGAGACGCAGCGGTCCACGACTGCAAATAGCGGCGCCGCGGACGCCGACGGCCGGTTCCTGGCGCCGTCGCAATTTGGCAGCGGTGCAACGTCACCGACGCAGAGCATGACAAGTGGCAACGACGACGAGGCGGCGCACGACAAGGTCGTCATGACCATGCACGAGGGCGGGCAACCCGGGTCGCCAAGAAGCGCCGTCACACTGCAGACCGCGCAGCCGCGCAAGCTCAAGACGATGAAGAAGCAGGTGGCGCAAAAGAGAACGAACAAGCGCTCGGACCTCGACGGCTCATCGCTCGTGCACATTGAAGAGGCCGCGTACACGCTCTGTGCGCTCATGAAGGAGCACATTGACGACCTCGAGGCGATCGTGACCGACCACGAAGACGACGACGGGATGGAAGTCGACGACACCGAGTCGACGGAAGACGAGTCGATGGACTCGTCGTCGTCGCCCGTCTCGTCGGCCGAGATGAAGAAGCGGTACCACTGCCGCAAGTGCCGCGTACCCAAGAAGGGCCACGTGTGCCCGGAAGCGTCGTCGGGCGAAGACTCGGGCGCCAAGTCGCTCTCGCTCAAGAAGATGTCACTGCACGAGTCGGACCTCGACTGCTACGAGCCGTTGGAAGCCGAGTGGAATGACCTCGACAAGTACGTTGGCTACCGCGTCGCCCGCTGCTTTGGCCCCAACCTCTGGTGCCGGGGGACGATCGACCAGGTCGTCGCGACCGGCTCGGACCAAGACAAGATTCACATTGTGTACTCGGAGGCGTCGGGGCGCCACGAATGGCTGCTCAAGTCGGACGCGATCGAGTGCATTGCGATCGAGGGCCTCAACACGGACGACGACGAAGCCTACGGCGTCTTTGCCGGCAGCTCGCTCCGGAAGCGCAAGCATTGGAACTCACTCGCTTCGAGTTTGCGCGAGTCGCCCGAGAAGGACGACGATTTTGACGACGACGACGACGCGGGCGCGGCCCATCCGGCCAAGCGCCTCTGCTCGCCGTGATCGGACAATGTTGTCGTATATATAAATATATAGGGATAGGACTAGATAGTGGATGTGTCTTTTTGAACATGATAGATTTTGACCATTTATACCATTTATATCATGTCTTATCCCCGCCGCGCGAGGTTCAGTTTGCACTCCGCGACTTGGACGTCGTCCCGTCGCGTCAACCTTGTCAGCAGCGCTTCGCCCTGCCCGAGGACCGCGTCCCGCTCCGCGCGCAGCCGCATCATGTCGTGCGCCTCATCTTGCAGCGCTGTTCGCTCGATCGGGTCGACCACGAGCGCCATGCCCTACGCGTGCATGTGAAGCGAGCGACTGACGCGAGAAGATCGTACGGCCTGCAAGGACGCCAGCGCGAGGTCGAGCTCGCCGTAGTTGAATTGGCAACGAGATAACGTGATGTGCGCGTCGGCCCACGTCGGCGCGAGCTCGGCCGCGCGCGTTGCTACCTGTGGGACTGATGGGTGGAGCGACGAGGACGAGATGTTGGTACCTGGATGCCCTGGAAGAACTCGCCAAGGGCCAAGTGCGCTTGGGCCAAGAGCTCATGGAGCACCGCGTGTGTTGGGTCGTACTCGATCGCCTGCCGCCAGCGATCCATCGCGGCCCGGTACCGCTCTAGTGGAACACGTCATGCTGCATCGGCGAGGAAGGTGTGCTCATGTGTTTATTGCCTGCTTCGGCCAAGACGTTGCCTTCGTCTTGGAGTCGCTTGACCTTGTGCGCGACGTCCTCGAGCGATGGCAGCGCTACCAGCGGCGCTGACGAAGCTTGTGCATCGGCGTACTCGTACTCGGTCATGGCCTCGAGCTGCGACTGCGAGAGAAAGCACGGCGCGGCCTCTGCCGTCCGCGCCTCCTGGCGCTTGCGCTTCTTGAGCTGCAGCTGGACGCGTGCCATCCCGATTTGTTGCTTTTGATGACTAAACCCACGTCACCTAAGCGACCCCACTCCAAGACTACATCGAACTCCACTGCTGCCACTCATAATAGTGCATCACACGAGAGCAGACAACATGTCTTTAGCTGGCATCGCATGGCCGCCGGTGTTGCGAGGTGCATGGACGACGCGCCGAAGACGGCGATCGCTAAGAGTTCATTGGCCAAAAACCGTCGCGGTAGAGTGTCCAATGGCATCGCGGCATGGATTTGAATTGAGCCAATGGCATCGCGAGAACGATTGGCTGGGACTAGGTAGAAAAAGCCAAAACACGAATTGCGAAGATGAAGCTCGATGTGACGGGGATGCGGTACCTGACGAAGGACCACTTCAAGGTGCTCACGGCGGTCGAGCTCGGCATGAAGAACCACGAGATCGTGCCTGTCGAGCTCATCTCGTCGATCGCCAAGCTGCGCCACGGCGGCGTCAGCAAAATCCTCTCGCACCTGCTCCGTAACAAGCTCATTGCGCACGACGGTACGACGTACGACGGCTTCAAGCTCACGTACATGGGCTACGACTTCCTCGCGCTCCGCGTCTTTATGAAGCATGGCCACATCTCGGGCCTCGGCCGCCAGATCGGCGTCGGCAAGGAGTCGGACATCTACATGGCCGTGCAGCCCGACGGCACCGAGGTCGCGATCAAGTTTCACCGTCTCGGCCGCACGTCGTTCCGCGCTGTCAAGAACGTACGCGCCTCGTCTCTCTTCCTTCGCACTCACGAAATGCCGGGTATTAGAAACGTGACTACCTCAAGACAAAGAAGCAAGTCAACTGGTTCTACCTCTCCAAGCTCTCGGCCATGAAGGAGAACGCGTTCCTGCGCGCGTTGTACGAACGCGGGTTCCCGACGCCGACGCCGATCGACGCCAACCGCCACGCGATCGTCATGAGCCTCGTCGACGGCTTCCCGCTCAACCAGGTGCGCCGCATGGCCGACTCGAAGGAGGCGTACGACAACTGCATGGACATTGTCGTGCGCCTCGCCGAGTGCGGCCTCGTGCACTGCGACTTCAACGAGTTCAACATTATGATGAACGACACGGGCAAGATCACGATGATCGATTTTCCCCAAATGATCTCGACGTCCCACTACAACGCCGAAGAGTACGTTCTTAGTCGCTGCTGCCACGAGGCTTATTGGCGGCGTAGGCTCTTCAACCGCGATGTCCAAGGCCTCGTCAAGTTCTTCTCGCGCCTCCAGCACGGCTCGTATGTGCCCGACGAAGTGCCCCAGCTCCAGGATATCGTCCGCGACGCGGAGATGAACCTCGATATCGAGATGGAGGCGAGTGGCTTCACCAAGCAGATGGCCAAGGACATGGAGACGATCCATGAGCTCACGGTCTCGAAAGACACGATCCATGAGGATGGCCGGGAAGATGAGGACGAGGACGACGAAGCAGCGGACGAGGAAGACGATGAGCTCGACGAAGCCCTCGCGCGCGAACTGGAAGCTAAGATTCAGGCGCTCAAGGGCGACGCGGCGCGGGACAGCGGTGCGGACGCTGCGTCGGACGAAGAGAACGACGACGAGTCGGAGGACGAAGAGGACAACGGCAAGTGGGCAACGCCGGTCGTCAGCGAAGACGTGCGCCTCAAGGTCAAGAAGGCAATCGCCAAGCAGGCGTCCAAGGGCGGGAAGCGGACGCGCAACTCGTCCAAACTCAGCATCAAGGGCAAGCTCGTGCACAAGGAAATGTTTTAATCGCTAGTAGAAAATTTAAGGTTTCTTTAATAAGTACAACAGAGTAGTAGTCAATCTTGCGCCCTGTCGCTTCACTGGATTGCACACGACGAGCTCTGCGCCGCCGGGTCGCCGAGCTCCTTCATGGCTTTGCATACCGCGCTGTGCTTGCCGGCCATTGCGAGATCGAACGCCATCTTGCCGTCCTTGTCCTTGAGCGCCGAGTCGGCCTTCTTCTCCATGAGCAGCCGAACCACCTCGACTTTGCCGGCCTCGGCCGCGCCCATGAGCGACGTCGTCCCGCTTGTCGTCACCGCATTGATGTCGGCGCCGCGCTCCAGTAGCACCACCGCCGCCTCCTTGTGCCCGCTAATGCACGCCCAGTGCAATGGCGTGCGCCCGCTCTTGTCCGGCTAGGCACACACAACTATGAGATCACATGTGCCATGTTGCCGTCCATGCACGCGTACGATATTTACAAGCGCGCCGCGGTCCATGAGCAAGGTGCAGAGCTCGGCGTGGTTGCCACCGGCGGCGCGGTGCAGCGCGCGCCGGTCCGCCGCCCCGGGCACGTTGACGTCCATGTCCGGGTCCTCGAGGATCTGCAGCACGGCGCCCTTGTCGCCGTTGTGCGCGGCCTTGTGCAGCGGCGTGTCCGATGGCATCGTAGCTCTCCAACGGCTCCTCTCGTTTTGCCAGCGACGCTTTGACCGAGTTATTTTCAGCGCCGGATAGAACTTCGTATCCGGATGTAACTGGCGACGCTAGTTGCACGCAACTTGGCGCCGCCGCTGACAGCCAAAAAGGCAAAACCAAGGTCCAGAACGAGGCTCACAAGGGATTCTGTCGACGCTTCCGACGGCTTTTACGTGCTCTGTCGTCCACGATAAGGCTCGCTGTGTCGGGCGACCGCAGCATGTGACTCGACGACAAAGTCCGAACAAACTCGATTTAGATTAGTCGACACTTCAACGTGCTCAGTCTAACTTTAGTTTGCGCTGATGACGATGTATTCCACTCGACGTCTCGCGTGCCGAGCGCAATGGACCTCGAAGCGCGCTACCGTGCGGCAACGCTCGAGCAAATTGAGATTGAGCGACGCATCGAAGCCATTCACAACGCGCCGGCAGCCTTCTATGTGCCACTGGGTACGGCGCTCGACTACGAGCAGAGGGTTTTATAACAAGGCTTTAGACTATGTCTTCGTGTGCGCAGTCGTTGCGTGCATCTTGCCTCTGCTGGACGTGTGGTGGCAGACGCGGTCGCGCCAAAGACTCTCCTTGTTGCCTCGGCGGTCGCTGGCCAAGGCGATCGCTCCGTTGCCGCCAACCGCAGCGGCAAGCGACTTGAATTTGTGCGTCTCTTATGATCTTACGATGCATTCAACTTGCAGTGGTATAGTGAGGCTCGACTGTTGCAGCGCTGCTTGGCCGCGGACCCGGCGCTGACCCATTTCATGCAGCACGCGCTTCGTCAAGTGATGCACGACCCCAACCAGGTATTGCATTCTGATACGACTGAGGGTGATGAGAGCCCGATGATGCAGATTCGCACTGTACTTGGTGAGCCAGCGCTACAAAGTCTCGGTCGCGAGGAGTGGAAGCGCGTTCTCGACGCCAACTACTTTACGGTCGGTGGGATTTTCACACAATGAGGACGATGGATGGCTATAGATCCTAGAGTCAGTCGTGACGTCCACGTCAGCTTTTGGCGGCTCTTGTCCGCTACGCACGCGCAAGTGGCTTGCGCGGGGCCTCTCGGTGTTTGCAATGGACCTTCGGATTCTCTTTGAGGTGCGTTTTCACCTCCCGAACGGCAACGCATGGCTACGATAGGGCCAGCTACCACTTTTGCAATTCTACCGGTGGCGCAGCACCCGCGCGACGAAGTGCCGGGGAAGTCTTCCGTTCGTGGCACTCCTCGCGCTGCAGCATTTTGAGTCGAGTACGGTGAACCAGCACACGTTCACCAATCTCATGCACGCGGTACATAGGCGAAGCTAGTGTCGAGCGCCGGGTCCAGCTGCACACCTGTATCAAGTGCTTCATGGAAGGCTTGGTCAGCAACAGCTTCCTTGAGACAGCGTGCCAACCACGGAGGCTTGCGTAGATACCGTATGACCTCGAGCCTCGCGTGCTGCATAGTCACCTCCTCCGTCTCGTTGTCCCAACCGCTACAGACAAGACGTCCTTGCTGACTCTACGGCTTGGCGCTTTGCTCCGCACCAACTGCTCGGAGGTACTACACTACTATAGTATGCGCTGGCATCTCCCCACAAATTCACGCTGCGCGTAGGTGGAGACGGCGTTAGCGAGTTGGTCGCACGAGGACCGCGCCTACTTGGAACGCGAGTGGCGCACCTGCCACGACCACCCCATTTTGTTTCAAGGCACACGCACGGTACGACGTCATCCTCTCAAACAACAGCCAATATATCGCCGGCAGATACTGCAGACCGGCGGCCTCCCGACGGTGCTGCGTTGCTTGATCAACGCTGTTCGAGTTGCCCGGTCGATGCCGCAGCCGGAACGACGCCATCAGCGGCTTATTATTCGCTTCCATTTGCTGGCACCCGAGACTTCTTTTGCAGTCTCTCGGGTGTTTCACTTCCGCGCCACTTCGCATTTGGATCTCATCTTTAACGCCCAGGACAACGCGATCATGACGCCACGTCATGTCGGTAACAAGAACTAGCCTAGAGTAATATCGGCTATATATACCGGTTGCGGGGTCGCGTAGAAAAACACGAATTGTGTATCTTGAACAGTCGTCCTGGAGAGGTGTTGCCGATGCGCCTGGAAAAAATATGCGTGCGCCACTACCCGCCGGGCCTGCGCCTTTGCTACAAGACGTCGATGGGCGAGCAGAAGCAGTCGACGCTCGACCTCTTGAGCTTGGGCCCCGAGACGAACGTGCGCCTGCTCGTGAACCAGCTCATCGAGAAGGAGCCGCTCTTGACGGCGCGCCATGCGACGCTGCTGCAGACGATCCTACACGCGCTCATAGATAAGCAGTGTCCACTGGACGACGACGGCGAATTTCGCCTGAGCAAGACACTGCGCCCCCACGCCCAGCCCATGACCAACTTTGTCGCGTCCAAGAATGCGTCGCTGCTTGTGACATCGAGCTACGACAAGACGGCGCGCCTCCTCCGCCGCAGCGACAAGACGCAAGCGGAGCAAAAGTTGGTGCTCTCCGGCCACGACGGCGTAGTGTACTGCGTCGCGCTCAACCAACCGTACTCGAGCCTCGCTCTCACGGGCTCGTTTGACAAGACGTGTCGCTTGTGGCACACGTCGACGGGAAAAGTCGCGCGGACCTTTGCTGGCCACGAAGGCGAAGTCGTTCATGTAGCGTTCAACGCCAAGGGAACGCACTTTGGCAGCTGCTCCATGGACTGCACGGCGACACTATGGGACGTGGAGGCCGGGTCGTCGGTGTTTGATCTCGTGGGGCACACAGCCGAGGTGTCCACCTTTGCGTTCGACTCGTCGTCAAGCCTCATGGCGACCGGTACCTCGGCCTTGGAAGCCATTTTTTCAGTTGTAGAGTAGGCGCTTGCGACGCGAGCGTGCGTCTCTGGGACTCACGCTACGGCGCATGCTTTCGGTCGTTCGACGCGCACGCAGCAGACATTGCGACCGTGAGCTTCAACCACCAGTCCAACTTGCTCCTGAGCGCGTCTGCGGACGGTACCGCGCGCGTACGCTGCGCCTTATCTCGCGGTGTCCTGGACGCATGGCGTGTGTAGGTGTGGGATGTCCACCACGGCAAACTGCTCTTTGCCTTCGAGGACCACCAAGGCGAAGTCACGGACGCCTGCTTCAACGCGACGGGCTCGCTCCTCGCCACGAGCGGCGTCGACGGCTCCATTTACGTCTACGACACGCTGCACGGGCACAAGCGCTGCATCTGCCGCGGCCACAAGGGCGAGGTAGGTAGACGCCGGCGCAGCGCGGTGCTCAATGACCGTGACAGGTGACCAAAATCATGTTTACGCGGCAAGGCGCGCGCCTCGTGAGCGCGAGCGCAGACAAGACGGCGCGTCTCTGGGATACACAGAGCGGCAACTGCGTCCAAGTGCTCAGTGGTCACGAAGACAGCGTGTTTGGGTGCTACGTGAGCTACGACGGCCGGTCGATCGTAACGGGTAGCCACGACAACACTGTACGGTACGGCGACCGTGTCAATGGGCGGGAATGACGTGGCATCCTCGTAGCATCTGGGGCTCGGACGACGACAAGTAAGACGTGCGATAAAGAGACGAGCGTGGAAGATCCATCATCATCATCATCATTCACGGGTATCGATGGAAGATCGTGTACTACGGGCAGTATCGATGGCAGAAGGTCGTCGAGGGGTGTTCGAGCTAATAGATAAAGGTATTTAACAACATCCTTTGGCGTTGCCTTTGGCGGCCGCAGTCTTGGCGCCGCCGAGGTTGACAATCTCCTTCTTGTGGGGCCCGCCCTCTTCCATCAAGCGCGTTTTGACTTCGTTCGCGATCTCGATGAAGCCGCTCTCGACGTTGATGTTGTTCTTGGCGCTCGTCTCGAAAAACTTGACGCCATATTCGTCCGCGAGCGCTTGGCCTTCCTCGGTGCTCACGACCTTGTCGTCGAGCATATCGCACTTGTTGCCGACGAGAATCTTGTTGACGTGCACGTCCGCATGCTGCTGGATCTGGCCGACCCAGTTGCGGATGCTGTTGAACGATGCTCGGTCCGTGACATCGTACACGAGCAGGATACCCTGCGCGCCCCGAAAGTACGAGGTCGTGATCGTCCGGAACCGCTCTTGCCCTGCCGTGTCCCAAATCTACCAGCTAGCATGAGCTCCTGCCCGTCGCCGGCATGATGGGTGTACCTGCAACTTGATCTTCTTCCCGTCGAGCTCAATGTTCTTGACCTTGAAGTCGATGCCAATCGTCGTGATGAAGGTCGGCGAGAACGAGTCGTTGGCGTAGCGCAGGAGCAAGCACGTCTTGCCGACGCCTATACATACGCCATGTGATCTTCGCGCAGGATCGCCATGCTGCTCGTACCGCTGTCGCCGATCATGAGGAGCTTGATCTGCATGTCGAAGGGATTCTCATTGCGAGCCATCTTCCGCGCTTCCTGCAGCGCATGAGCTCCCGATCGATACGATGGGCGATGTCTACCTCCGCGACGTCAAAATGGAAAATGCCGATCCTTCACTATACAAACTCCAAGTCTAAAAGTTGAAACGGAAAGCCCCATATAATTAGCCACGGGGGGAGAACTCACTTGGAATTTGTATTCTCGAAATAGCCGTGCGTTCGCGCGATTGGCCCAATCTTTCGAGGCAGCGCACTGATTGGCCAAAATGCGCGCCGGCCGAAGAAGCGACCGGATACAAATCCGGACGAAGATCACCACACACGTGGCCAGCGACCCGCGTCAAGACACGCCCATGGCATGCGATGGCCTCGACGACGCCCAGGAAGGTATGGGTGAGGCGAATGTCCTCGACGCGGGGCGTCGAACGAGCTCCAGCATGCCAAAGGCCATGCATTTGATCTCGCGCTACGGAGGGTTGGAGGATGACCGAGTACCTTGTTGAACCCAATGCAGCGGAGCAAGCATAGACGCCACGGCTGGGTGAGCAGAAGTAGTCGCAGCTTGTTGGTCGCTCTGTAGCGTGCGTAGTGCTAGTACGACGCGCATTGTAGGGCCCCAGATACGCCGCGTAGCATGCCACCGCCGAGGAGGACCGTAGGAAGCGCAGAGGTGCCCAATGATTTCGACCAACGAGGAGCCACGTGCGGGATGCATATGCGTGGTGCCCATGCAGCGCTTTGATCATACTACTAGCTCGTTAATTGTGTGTTGTACGATTGCCATCGTTGGTGGCATATGCAAAGATGGGAGCGGTGGTCATTGGCGTCCACGGGTCTTGATCCTACAGCTTGGATGGGCACACAAACAAGAGAAGAAGGACGTACAGCAAAGCCCGCGCCGACACCAGCATCCTTCCCGCCACTCGATGCAAAAGCCGCAATCGTTACGCCAGCGACGAGTCCCACAACGCACGTTGCCACGATGATCGTCGCCTTCTTGTACCGATAGGCTGTCGTGACTAGCGCCGTGTCGGCCGCTTTCTCGTCTTCGTCCGAGAGCTCAGGCACGGGTGAGATGACAATGTCCGAGCCGAGCGAATCCGCGCGCTCGTAGCGGGCGAGGGACGTCGACATCGAGTCGATCGTAGAGTAGGGAGGTGCAAGCGATACACACTGAGCGGTGTCGTGCCTCTACGCTAATGGCTCTGCGTGTAATTGCATTACGCGACGAGTGCCATGCCATGCCATGCTTGCGCCGACTCCACCCACGGACGCTTTTGTCGCCATTCCCCAACGTCTTGCACTTGAGCCTGATATCTTAAGTGTCTACAGCGGACACGACAGGGTCTAGTCATTGGATACTCCTGTTGAAGTAGACCAGGAGACATAGCATGGCATCCTCTCTGTTCACTCGTCGCGTAGGCTCTCCGCAGCGCACAGACGATGTCGTACCGGTACGTGAAAGCAAGGAGAGCTGGGAGCGTGCATTTTTGTGGCCCTTGGTGACAGGGATCTCATCCAGACAGTACTACATTGTCGTAGAAAATTAAATTAGATTGTTGTCCTACTGCGGAGGCAAAGGGTGATACGAGCGACTCCGCCTGCGCGTCGACCCGACAACGTACAAGGTCCCTGCAGCAAGCACGCCGACAAATGCGAGTTCGTATGGCCAGACAAAGCCGCTGTACACCACGTCGTGGTGAAGCGTGGGTTTGAAGCGGCGTTTCTCCGAGACGAGCGACCCTTCGATGGTAAGCTCCACGGGCGACGGCGTGCTCCAGCGCACTTGAAAAAAGTCTCGAAGCATCGCGCAAAGCTACTCGTCGCATGAGAACATACCGAGTGGCTCAAGGACGTACCACGGGCGACGGGCTACTTATGTCGTCGTTCACACACACAAACTTGGTCCGGCGCGACCGGGCACGATACAGCTGCACGTAGTCGGTCATGGATCGACCCAGCATCAAGAACGTGACTTGCTCCTGCGACATGCGGCGGTGCGTCGGCGGTAGCATTCGCGCGTCGACTTGGCCCAAACGCCGCTCAAGGCCGGGGCAGTGCGCCGCAATGAGCTGCAGCGGCAATGACGACGAGCTCTTGGTTGCGCGGTGGCAGTCATCGAGCAACGCGTATAGCACCGCGTGCGAGGATTGAGGAAAGAGCCCGAGAAGGTTGCGCACCTCATATTGGTCCAGGAGACCGTTCTGGTTGATGTCGATGACGCTCGAGATGAGCTCGGTCGCCGACTGTGGCGGGTGCAAGAGCCGACGGTTCGCCACATAGTGCATATAGGCAAAGCTAAACTGCATGTCCCTCGGGTGCCGGAACCGGTGCGACGACGTTGCATTGAACTGCGTCGGCCAGTGCGCCTTGAGCTCCGAGAGCACTCGCTTTTGAATAAAGTACGGCATGTGCGCTGGCACGCGGCGCGGCACTGGCGCCTTGCCAAACGCAGCATCAAAGAGCGTGTTGACGTGCTTGAGCGAGTCCCCAAACGGGTCGAGGAACGTGATCTCCTCGTCCGACGTCACGTCTCGTGGACGACACGGATCGAGCCAAAATGGCTGTTGGTCTTTCGTGCGCATGATGCGGCACATCTAGTCACCGGCAGGTCAGTGGAAATGATACGAGGAGAGACGCATTCGGTATGATGTACCTTGTCATGAACCAACTGTGTTGCATTCCGCGACAGCGGACCGTGGGCGGCGCCAAAGCGTGTACAGAGCGTCATGGCCTTGGCCTTGGCGGCCGACGGGTCGTTGGCCATGCGCGCCTTGGTCGAGGCCGTCGTGCAGCTCTCTGCCAGAGTCGCATACGTTGCGTTGCACCACGCCCACCAGTGGCACTCGTGCGTTGTCTTGGGCAGCGCGTAGTGCGCCAAGGTGCGCACGGTCGGCGCAAGCACAGTAGAAAGTGCGGTGAGCACGATGCAGCTGCGACGACCGCCGTTGAAGAGGCAGACGCTCGTACGCGTCGCATTGCCGGGACGCGCGTGCACGAGTACGCCCGAGGCGTTGAGCGTGCAATGGCTCTCGGCTAACGCCGTAGCAGACGACGCCGTGTCGATAGCCGGGCACGAAATGGCCGTGCCATCGTCGACTGCAAAGCGCGTGTCGCCGCTCCAGTCGGGCAAGGAAGCAAATGGCACATAGATGGTCGCATCCAAGTGCTGCGGTTGGAACGCCGGCGTGATGCTGATCGCTGCGAGATCGAGATCGAAGTGGGACAGCGAAGATCGGCGCGCAACGGCGTAGCCTTGCGACGCTAGTGCAACGCCGCGTGGCACAACACGCAGTCGCATTTGTTTTGCGGAGGATCGCAATGTCAACGTGATCGTCTCGTCGACCGTGCGATTGAAAAAGAGAAAGAGCCGCGAGCGGAGGACGGCCGCGTGCTGGACGAGTGCACTAAATTCTGTCTCGACCGACCCTATGTCGTCAACGACAAGTACCGAGCGGTGAGCGCCCAAGAGCACGGCCGCGTCGTTGACCGAGGCATTCCACGTCACGCGCGGCAAGAGATCGAGTGCTGTGGGGTCGCAGTCGCCAGCGTCAAACGCGCACTCGGCCACATTGCAATGCACTTGGCAGTGGCCGTCACCGAGGTCTCTTCAGTCGCAGCCGGGTGCACACCCCGAGCGAAAAGGCGACTCGGGGGCCGAGCAAATCGGTGTCCAGTCGTCGCTTACCTACAGTTCGAGTTCATTACCATCCGCCTCGTGATAAGAGGCGCCATGTACCACGGGCGGTGACGCGCAGGTGCAGTCGCCGTGGTCAAACCCACAAGCTCGTGTGTTGCAAGCGCGGTGGCACACCCCATCGCCGAGCATCCAGTTGGCGCATTCGTCGCTGCACGCTGGCGCCTCCCACGCGAGGTACACGTTTTGCGTGCCGTTGCGACTCATGAAGTCTTGGGGCGAGACCGGGGCACCGAGGAGCATGTCGTCGTTCAGATACAAAAAATTGGCCGAGAGTTCCGGGATCCAATCGAGGTTGGCTTCGATCGACGGCGACGCGAACGTGGGCAGATGCGACGCATTGCGAAAGAACGCCGCGTGCGGCACAATACTCACATGGGGATGCGACCGGTCGAGCCAAACCGGTGTTTGGCCGTCGGTGACGATGTAAATGTGCCGGATCCACGGGGCGTACATGTACAGGGACCGGATCGAGTAGCGCAGCTCGTCGTTGTCGCGGAACCGGTTCTCGTCCGACGACGTCAATGTCGGATGCTCGTTGTGCTCCTTGCGCCACGTGGCGTGCCACTTTGCCTTTTCCTTTTGCCAGATCGGGTCCGAGCCGTTGACCCACGTGTACACCGCGTCGATGGGCCCGTACGCGGCGTCGATCGGCACGTTGCCAATGGTGCCGTGGCTGCTGGGAGCTGCGACGGTCAGGAGGCAGACCCATGCGAGAAGCGTCGTCCACCACACCGGCGACATCATCGAATCAGCTTGTGAAATGCTGCAGTGCTGCGAGACTCGAAGCGTCGATTTGCGTACGGGTGACGTCGCCAGAGGCTCGGAATTTATCTTTGTCGCGCTTTGTTCGCATTCAACGCTTTCGTCATCGTCGTGAAATGCTTCGTCGTGGAGCGTGATGGGTGCAGGGTGGCTCCGTTGCTACCGCCTCTGCTCGACAGCGCCCTTGATCGTCGCTGAAGTAATATATTTGTGGCCATGGAAGCCGCGAGGCTGTCGAGGAGATGACCGCCGTTGGTCGATGGCTGCCGGTCGACGCTCGCCATTGCGGTTGTTCCCACTCAGTGTCCAGGATCGCCAAGAATACATCCAGTACCAAATGTTCATGACGGCAAAACATTAGGTAAGCGTCGAGTACGACGCCGGTGAACCAAACTGTAAGAGCTTACGCCGGTCGGCCAAGTTGTAAGCTCCTGCTCGCGAACTACTACACGCACCCATCTCGAGCGCACAAAACTTGATGAGGTATGCACTGTCCCAAGCAGACAAACCTCGTTGCGCCAAAGCGACGGCTCGGGTGTTAGTGCCCATAGACTCGACTAAGACCTCAATGCCGTGTGTGATAAACGATCGCTCCACCAACTCCGGCACCGAGAAGTCGTCTTTCGCGACTGCGACGACCCGTCAAAGAGTCATATCGCCTCACTTTCTGCCGGACGAGTACCATTTCCGAGGATGACATTTCGCATGTCCGCTTGTCCATGCTTCAGAAACCTCACATAAACTGCATCGACTCGTCCTCTTCATGTGTTGTCTCTGGAATTCGTAAACCCTAATTCGTAATCCCTTCTCGTTAAAACGCGGCTTACTCTTTCGCTGCTTTTTCAACAACATTGGCGCCTTGTCGAAGGTAGTCGACTACGACCTCACGTAGCACAGTACGATCCCAAATAATCATGATGGACACGAGGGAATGAGCCTACAATGGATGATCGAGCCGAGACGTATATATTGACGACGGAAGCACAAGAGGCACGAAGATGACGAGGAGCAATGGATATGGGTCTCTGGGAACGAGAGCCAGGAAATGAATATGGCCTCCAGCCTTCCGCTATAGTACGATCTCCATTCTGCAAGTAGCTCTCAAGCTCTCTAGGGTTCAAAGGGTTCAAACGCTCATGGACCCGCGATCCTATCGTGTTTGGATCGGAAACAGCGTTTTCATCTGAAACAGTGTTTTGCTTGCTTCGAATTTCGGTTAACGTAGTACGAAGTTATTGGCCCCAACGAGACCGACGGCAAGATGGGACGCTACGATGGCATGAGCAGCGAAGAAGAAGGCGAGATCATCGAAGAGACGCCGCCGGTCATGAAGAAGGCGCCCATCGAAGCGGCGATTGCAGCGCCTCCTGCAGAGGCGCCTCTTGTGGTCGCCGTTCAAGTCGCTCCTGACGCGCCTGCAAAAGCTGTGGCCGTGACCGCGCAGACGCCACCCACCGATCGTTCGCTCGACACGCGGAAGCGTCAGCAGCCCGCGGAGCCGCGCCCACCACGCTCGCCTGAGAACAAGCGTCGCCGTACTGAGCCCGCTCGGCCTGCGCCGCCCAAAGACCAACCGCCGATGAAGAAGCACGACTCGTTCTCAGCCGCGGAGAAGCAGAAGGAGCTCTCGCGCGTCCTTCGCGAGCCGTACCAAGCGCGCAGCAGTCGCGTGCTCCTCAACTTCAACCTCTGGCTCGCCGAAGCGCGGTTGGCGCAGGTGTACGCGCGGCTCGCGATCGACGACGTCCAGACGATCGTGACCAGTACGCTCAAGGGCGACGGTAACGGAAGCCCATTCCTCGAGTCGTACGACGGTGTTGCGAGCCCAAGTAAAGTGTGCATCGTGCTGGCGAAGGGCGTGCACCCCGACATGCTCGGCCGGGCGGTCACGAGTCCGGACGTGGCCTTGCCCTTCTTCGAGTCGTGCTCGACGGTGCCTTGCGGTCTCGCGTCGGCAACGGCGCTCAAGGCGTCGCAAAAGCCCAAGGAAGTCGCGCTCTCCGAGTCGCTTTTTCGATTTCCTCTCAGAACCACCGACCTCGAGTACCATCTCTCCGTCTCTACCTCCATATTCACAGCGCATGTTGCCCTAGTCTGCTTTCACCGGACGAGCTCTTTGCTGGCTACGAGGTCACGCTCTTAGCGCAGTACACGTCAGAGTCGCGCGGCTGGACCGACGAGGTCGTGTTGCAGCCGTCCGGCGCCTTCTTCCGCAAGACGACGCAGCAGTCGGGCGAGTGGAAGCTCGACGGCGACCTCCTGCACTTGCACTGGACGTTTGCAAGAGCCGACGACGACGCGTCCAAGCCGCAGGTCGTGACGGCCATCGACGTGCTCCTGGCCGAAGACGACCGCTTGCGCGTCTTCCGCACCAACGATATGCTCGACAAGCAGTACGGCCTCGCATCCCTCGACCCAGAGAGACCTCTCGTGAAGCGGGCGCTCAAGGTCACGGTGCTTCGCGCGGCCAAAGTCAACGCAGCGCTGACAACACCATCGTTGCCGTCGCTTTGGACCCACGAGCCAACGCTCGACGACTTTATCCTGACGCCGGACGAGATGATCGCGTACGGATACCCGATGGACGCGACAGTCGAGCAGCAGTTGCTCATGAAGGCGACCAAGAACAGCTCGATGGACGTGTACAAAGCCACCATGCGCAAGGACGAGACGCAGGACGACGCCGACGAAGAGAGGCTGTTTGCCCTCGACTGCGAAATGTGCGAGACGGACCTCGGCTCGGAGCTCACGCGCGTGACGGTCGTCAACGCACAGGGCGAGACCGTCTACGACACGCTTGTGAAACCTCGGAGCACGATTCTCAACTACCACACCGAGTTCAGCGGCATTACCGCCGAGTCGCTCGCCGACGTCAAGACTACGTTGGACGACGTCCAAGCCCACTTGCTCTCGCTCGTCTCGGCCTCGACGCTGCTCGTTGGCCACTCGCTCGACAGCGACCTCAAGGCGCTTCGGCTCGTGCACCGTCGCGTCGCTGACACGGCCATCTTGTTTCCGCACCAGCGCGGGTTCCCGTTCAAGCCGTCGCTCAAGGCGCTCGCGAGCACATTTTTGAACGAGACGATCCAGGACATGGAGGGCGGCCACGACTCGGCGCAAGACGCGATCGCCGCGCTCCGGCTCTTCCAGCTCAAGCGGCGCGACGGGCTCTGCCTTGGCCTGCCGACGCCGCCACTCTGCAGCCGCGCCTACACGACGCTGCTAGACGAGCTGCCGCAAGCGACCAAGCACTTTGGACGCGTGGGCGCCAGCGCCCTGCCCAAGCCATGGGCACTCTACTCGAGCGGCGACCTCAACGACTTGCTGACGAGCGCCGTCACGAATGCTCCGCCCACCGATGTCGGTACCTACGACGCGCTGACGCTGACGCCCGACGCGTGCACCAAGGACTTGCTGTGGTATGAAGTCGACGTCGCACCGAGCCGCGATCCCAAGCTGTACATGGACACGGTGCAGCTCTGGAAGCGCGCGCAGGTGGCGGCCATCTCGGAGCTGGACGCGTCGCTGGCAACGCTCGCGTCCGAGCTCCCGCCCGAGACGCTGCTGCTCGTCTTGCCGCAGGCCGACCTCTCAATCTACCGCTACATGAAGGCGATCCGGATGAAGTCGCGCTGGAACGAGTGGGAGAGTGGCTGGACGGACGCCGACCAGTACTACCTCCAGTACGCGTACTCGGGTCTGCTCGACTCGGCTCTCTTTCTGAAGCGCACCAGTGGCTTGTAGCAATGGAGATAAGACGATATTATTGGCAATGGCAGTACATTGTGTCCCATGACTAGTCGGACTCGTCTTCGTCGACGAACGTTCGGCGTTTCTTGGCGCTTGACGAGCGCATCATCTCTTCTTCCTCGTCATCGTCGTCGTCGTCGTCGTCGTCCGGCTCGCTCTCGTCCGACTCTTGCCGACTGCGCTGCTTCATGCGGTACTCGTCGAGGCCGCCGGGGCGCGGGGCCGCCGGCCGCTTGCTCAGCGGCTTCTCCGGCTTCTTGGCCGCGCCACGACCGCCATATTGCTGCTTGATTGCAGACAAGTTGTCGTCGTCGTACTCGACACCGTCATAGCCCTACACCCGCAGGATGCATCCGTCGAGTAGGATTGCCGGTAGTACCTCTTCGAGGAAGCCGGCGTCCATGCGGCTCGAGCGGTCGCGGTCGTACTCGTACCCATCGCGATGCTTCTTGCGGTTCTGGAGACGCATCTTCTCCTGGCGCGCGTTCGCCCGCTGCTCCTTGTCGAGCGTGCCATCGACTTCGGAAATGTATTCTTGAATACGGACAACCGCCTTGTTGTGACGCGCCCGCATCGACATTTTGAGGCTCTGGTGGGACGAGGACGTGGTCGCGATCGGGCGGATCGTGAGCTTCTTCGAGACGCAGCCGTGGCACTCGAGGACGGTCTCGTCCGTGGACTGCTCGTTCGCAAAGACGAACGAGTTGGCGACCTTTTGCTGCGTGAGCGTGAGCGCTTCGTCGCCGACAAACATCGTGAACGTCCCGTCCTCCCACTTGACGATGCGCGTGTTGGACGTGCGCTGGGGCCGCCCCGTCGCCGGATCCACCTAGGATGCTACATCGGTCGCCGTCGATGTGGGCATGGGACGTACAAGGACGTTGCCGTCGGCGTCGGTCGCGTACCGCCATCGCACATAGTTGCGGTAGAGGCCTTCGTCGCCAGTCTCTTCCTTCTCCTTCTGAATGCTAGCCTGTGTATACGCCTCGGGCACGAAGCGCAGAATGTTGGGCGGACGCGTGAAGAAGTAGTCCGTGTTCTTGGGCGCTTTGGGCGCCTTTGGGATCTGCAGTTCGTCGTGGTGGGCATCGGGCACCTCGCGTGGCATGGCCCGCGTCGGCGCAACGTCGCGATCCTCATCCCGGATCGGCGACTCCTTGATACCGCTACATGTGCGTGAGCCTCGTGGCAAGATGACGAGAGGCAGCCTACGAGGCCTTGAACTCTTCCTCGCCCGAGTCGTAGTCCGAGCCAAAGAGGTCCGCCATGTCTTCGTTGTCGGAGCCAGCATTCGTCGTCGTCGCCGTCTTGGCCGGCGCCTTCTTCGGGCTACCGCCGTCCGAGGACCCGCTGTCGCTAAAGAGGTTCGCGTCCTTGGCCTCCGACATCCCGCGCTTGGTTTGCTCGCCGCAGAAATTACTGGCCTGCCATCCGGAAAGCCGTATCCGGAAAAATACGGTGCAGTATTTGCGCTGGATTGACAGACAACCTTGCCACAATTCCAGCGCTGGATTTCGCTAGAAACGCAGTCTGTTACTAGACGACTGGGTCACTAGGCTCGACGCGCCTTGTGGCGGTCGACGTACGCCTCGAGGCTGCGCTGAAGGCCATACCACGGCAGCCACGCCCAGCTCGTGAGCGCGATCCAGTAGAGTCGCCAGTCGACGATCAAAGCGGCGGTAGCCTTCCAGAGCGGGTACGGTGGAGCGCGCCAGAGACTGGCGGGGGACGGGACCATCCAGAGCCGGGCGAGTCCAGCCTTTGAGTGCGCAAGGAGCCACTCGGTCCAGTGCATGGTCGGTGGCTTGCACTCGTGCCGGAGGTGCACCGAGAGCTCGTGGAAGAGCGACCGCTGCTTCCAAGGCGATCCGCTTGCGAAGAAGCCGTCGCGCGGACTCCGCGGGCTCACGGGGGACCGCTGCAAGTACTCTTCGTATTTTTGCATCAAGCCCTCGGACACGTTGCGCTCGTGCGCGAGGCGTTCGGCCATGATGTGTCGCTCGTTCGTCAGCGTGAGTATCTACAGGACAGTATATCCATCGTAGACAGTGCGTCGATACGCGTACTTGGTCGGTCGTCAACACCACGCGCTCCCGCAGCGCTGAGTTCTCTTCGGTCTACGGTGCATGTGAGATGCCACGACGACGAGCGAGCCATGAGCGGTAGTACGAGGCTCAGGACGGCGTCCGCCTGCAGCGCGTGGCGGTGCTCCAAGCTCGCAATTTTGTCGCGCAAAGCGCGCGCGTTGTTGGCTTCGGCCGTCAAGTGCGAAAGCTGCTGGCTTCTCGCATCGTGCACCTTGGCCGCCTGTCCAGCAGGGTATAATGTGAAGGGATGGTGAAGATTATGGTTTACGAGCTGGGCAGCTTCTCGCGCCGACTTGAGGTCGTGCAATGCTCGTTGCGCGGTGCTCGACACAGTAGCGTGGTCGCTCTGCAACGCCTCGTGCTAGCGCAAAGGATGAGCTTGCGGCAGAGGGCGTCGTACGGCGTACCGTCGCTTGCAGCTCTCGGTACTGCTGCTGCAGCTTTTGGTAGCGCTGCTGCAGTCGACAGAGATCGTCAATGTTTGTCTTGGCTTTGCATCTGCACAGTATGATAAGTACTATCGACCCGGGCACGATGCTAAGTTACTTGAGGTCGGCGTTCTCGATGCGAAGGTGGTCAAGCTCGGCGTCCGCGTGCAGGCGCGCCGACCGCAGTGCGTTGTAGTCGTGCTGCAGTGTTGCCAGGTCGCGCTCCAGCACCTGCATGGACGTCGATCCAGAATACAGGCGAGCGCGGGCGTACCTGCAGCCGCGCCGTGTCGTCGCTGTGCTGCTTGGTCATCTGCATATATGGTGTCAATACATACATGGCTGAATGCGCGTAGCGTACGGTGGCGAGCTTGGACTCCCATTCGTAGTCGAGCTTTTGGTTTTGAAGCAGGAGCGATTGGCCAATGCGCGCTGCGAGCTGCGTCTCCTCTTGGGCTTCCTCGAGCGCCTTGGATTGGCGCTGGAGCTCCGTCTCGAGAATTTCCACCTGGCGCATGCTAGCGTGAACCAGAATGGACTAGCGGTGCCATGGACTACCTTTTGGTCGGTCGAGATCTTGGCGAGCTCGAGCCGCCCGCCGACGCCGATGGACTTGACCCGCCGATGGCTTCGCTTGGCCTACGTGCGCCTGAGCGAAGCATGGTGCGACGCCGTCGTACCGCTGTCGTTGGGTGCACGAGCGCGCTCACTTCGTCCCGGTCCTCGTCGCTGGTGCTGTCCATGCGAGCGGCTGTTGCGATCTTTATCAGTCCCTTCGATAGTCGAAGGCAAAAACGAAGATACAAAAAGCGAAGATCGAAGCTAGAAGTATCCACGTGGCATGGCCATGATGCACTCCACCACCAGTGCAGCCAATCATGCACGCGGACCGTCACGGACCAATCAGAGGCCGCTTCAGAAGGTGTTGAGCTTGAGCTCGTCCGCGCATTGGGACGCCAACGAGGATACCATCCCAGCAATTGGGCTTAGCGCAGGAGCGAGAGCCGTAGGCTCATACAAGTGCATCCCGGGCGCTTGTTCCCACATCGCTCACGCGTGGCGGTGCGTCCGCGTCGCAGAGACTCATGCGACGCGCGCATGACGCACCTCCAAGTGGATGAGCCCTTGATGATGACCCAGAGAGCCTGCAGCACACAGATTCGGTATGCTAACGAACATGTCGGCCACGCGTACGTTGTCTGCGCGATCGCAGTCAAACAGAGGAATACAGAGAGATGCGCAAAACGAGCCGACGATAAGCGCCATGACATCGTAACGTCGCTACGGCGTGGGTATGAGAGTCTCCTGGACTCTCTTTCCGCGCCTTTGTGGAGAGCTCTCACGCGTCGTACATTGGCTGCTCGAGCATCCACACTGAGTTTGAACTGCCTCGTGGCGAGGAGGCGACAACTCCATACACTGTATTCCACGTGCAACCAACTTTTGTCGACCACGGTCTATGCCCCTAGACGCTGCTTGTTTGTGCAGCGCGTCCTACTGTGCAGCGGAGTCGTCGGATCGAGAGACCCGTCGATGTCCAAGCTGCCGCCTCACGACGACAAGCTGCCGCCTCACGACGACAAGCTGCAATGGCATCTCCATTTAGCACCATATATGAAACCGTCCTCATCTTCCCGTTCTGCGACGATGAGACCGCGTAGACGCGATGTTCAAGGTTATAAGAACGTAGAGGTTTACGCACCCGCTCCATCTGGTGTGCACTGGCATTGGTGCCGGTCTGATCGTTGACGTATGGATTGTGAGAGGTTTCTGGACTGACTGAGTCGTTCGCTCACAAGAAGAAGAGATGCAGTCGGCCGACTCGCGCGAATACAAGCTCGTGGTGCTCGGCAGCGGCGGCGTCGGCAAGTCCGCGCTCGTCATCCGCCTCGTCACCGACAACTTCCTCGAGGACTACGACCCGACGATCGGTACGGGAAGATGCAACGACGCTGGAAGGTTGACCGTTTGTATGTAGAGGACAGCTACCGCAAGCAGGTCGTGATCGACCAAAAGCAGGCGCTTCTCGACATCCTCGACACGGCCGGCCAGGAAGAGTACACGACGATGCAGGACCAGTGGATGCGCGAAGGCAAGGGCTTCCTCCTCGTGTACAGCATCACGAGCCGGACGACGTTTGACGAGATCAAGACGTTCAAGGACAAGATCCTGCGCGCCAAGGACACGAACCGCGTCTCGATGGTGCTCGTCGGCAACAAGTGCGATCTCGAGCGCAACCGCGACGTGAGCTTCGCCGAAGGCCAAGCGCTCGCGCGCGAGTGGGGCTGCCCCTTCATGGAGACGTCGGCGAAGGAGCGCATCCAGAACGAAGACTGCTTCTTCCAGGTCGTGCGCGAGATCCGCACCATGGACGCGCCCAAGAAGGCGCCGACGACCAAGAAGCCGAGCCCGGCCAAAGAGAAGAAGTCGTTCTGTACCATCTTGTAATCGCTCTCTATATAGTAATATCTCTATGTCCACGCAAACGATATTGCATTAGATAGATCGTCGATTACACGAGGATCCCGTGGTTGTACTTTATCCGATAGAGCATGATGTCGGGCGGGCACTCCTTCATGTACTGCGTGAGCCACCCGAGCATCTCCGACTCGGACGAGCCAAAGTCCTCAAGGTAGACGCTAAAGAGCTTTGGGAGGCGCACCGTGCGTGGCACCGTCTCGACGCTTACGTGGCGCTCGCAGTACGCCTTCATCGCCTGCTCCAAGTCCGTGTCGGTGCGACCGGGCCGCAGAATCACCGCCTCGGTCGGCGTCGCCAACGGCGCGCAAAACTCGAGCAGCGCGAGGAGCGACCGCGGGTCGCGCGTCCGGAAGCAGTACGCGATGCGGGGGTCGTGGTTCTCGAGCTGGCGGCCCCAGAACGCCGAGGGCGGCTTCCGGTTGCTGCGAAGGATGCCATGGCGAATGTCGGCCAGCGAAAACGTCAGGCCCCCTACACCAAATATTGTATCAACTTGATACAACAAGGAGACACGTACCGAGCCGGTAGACCATGTCTTTCTCAAAGGCCTTGTACTGGTCGGACGTGTGCGGCACGCTGAGCTCGATCGCGCCGTGGAGCACCATGGTGTTATAAATATTGATGAAGAACGTCTGCCGGTCCTTCGTGGTGAGCTTGGCGAGGTCCACGAGCTGGAGCTTGGCGATCGTCTTGAGGAAGAGTCGGTAGAGACCGGCGCCCGAGTAGTCGACGTCCGGCGGCGGGTACGACCAGTTGAGCGCAATGCCGTGGGGAAACTTGGCGTGGCTATGGAGCTCGGCCGCGAGCGCGCGCGCTTCGAGGCAGACTTCCATCGGGCTCACGTCCATGTGCGACGCAATGTAGCGCAGGTTCCGCGCTTGGCCGACTTCGTCGACCTGGAAGCGGAAGAGCGCATCTTCCACCGGCCCGCCGCGCGTCCATTCGAGCGTCCGCTCGAGCGCCCGCGGGTGCTGCGCCGATACAATGTGCAGCGCTTCGCTCAAGACGAGCTCCTTGATGGCCGCAAGCCCCATGTCGTAAATCTCACGCTCGGGCTTGAGCGGGTTGGCCTTGTTTTCGCGGTAGTCGCGCACGAATGCGGCTGCGATCTCGCGCCCCGGGGCACAATGGGCCACAGACGAAAAGTACCCAAGGCGGTGCGTGGCGACGTGGGTCCGGGCGCGCAGCCGGTCGGCGAGCGTCTCTTGGAGCGCGTGGGACCGGTGGTGCGACGCATTGTAGTCGTCCCCGTGCTTCGCGAGCTCGGGCGCCGCGAGGCCGACGACCTGCGACGACAGCGCAATTTCGCGGAGGCTGCTGTCGGGCGGCGGCGACGGCATTGCGAGCGGCTGCTGTGGCGGCGCTTGCGGCAGGAACGGGTTGACGCCGCTGAGCGCAATCGCCGGTTGGTTCATCTTGGCCTCGGTCTCGAGCGCGAGCTCGAACTCCACCGCGTGGTCGGCCAAGAAGGCCTGGATCGGGGCTTGGACAAACGGGAAGCGGCAAATGTCTTCGATCGACGGGCGCTTGTTCGGGTCTTGCTGCAGCATGAGCTGGATGAGCAGTCGGAGCTCCTTTGAAAAAAAAGGCGGCAGCGGCGGGTAGTCGCCGAGGCAGATCTTGTTGAACATCTCCTGGAGCGTCATGGCTTCAAACGGCCGGGCGAGCATTGCCATTTCGTAGAGGACGCAGCCGAGCGACCAAATGTCCGACTTTTTTCCGTAGCGCTCGCCGCGGCAGATCTCGGGCGACATGCTTTCGGGGGTCCCGACCGACGTCATGGCCGTGTCGTCGCCGGCGAGCGCCTTGGAAATACCAAAGTCGCCCAGTTTGACCACGTGCTTGCGCGTCAAAAACACGTTCTGCGCCTTCAGGTCGCGGTGCAAGACGTTCTTGCCGTGGATGTACGAGACGGCGAGCACGAGCTGCGCAAACCACGACATGATGAGCGGCTCGGGGAAGTACCCGGCGTTCGCTTTCGTGCGGAGCTTGGCGACTTGGCGGAGGTTGCCGCCGTCGCAAAACTCCATGACAATGTTGAGCTCGTCGTTCTGGAGCACAAAACTGTCGTAGAAGCGGACAATGTTGACGTGGTAGAGCGACTTGAGCAAGATGACTTCGTTGTCGGCCTGCTTGCGGCTGCTCTCGCTCGCGGCAGAGAGAGGCACGCGCTTGACGGCCACGATCGCGCCGTCATGCTTGCGCCGGGCCATGACGACCGTGCCATGCGTGCCCTTTCCGATCGTGCGGAGCACCTCAATGTCGCGCCACACGCTCTGCGTCGCGGCCGTGTTGAGGCGCATTCCTTCCATGTGGCTCTGCCGTGCGAGCCACACGTGGCGCACGAGCGTCTTGGCCGTGTTGTACTGGATCGGCTTGATCAGGTAGTCCTTCGCGCCCTTCGAGAGACAGGACGTGACAACGTCCATCTCTTCGTTCGACGAGGTCATGACGATGGGAATGTGGGCGAGGCTGTCCTCCTTCGCCACGCACTCGAGCAGCTGGATGCCTGTGAGCACTGGCAGCATGACGTCGCAGAGCACGAGGTCAAAGCCCATGGGCGCGCTGACCATGGCCGTGAGCGCGTCGCCGCCGTTCTCGACCGCCGTCACGCGGTAGCCGATGCTCATGAGGATGTCGATCGTCGCCATGCGCGTGAACTCATCGTCCTCGACGACGAGGACGTGGACTTCGGACGGATTCATTCCGTCGGTCGCGTGCGAAGCGAGAGAGATGCAAAGTTGGTCGTACCCCGGGGCCAACAGCCATTTCCTAACCCGCGCGGTGATTGGCCAAAATGGTTGCAAATCCGGACTGACGCCATCGCCGCTTGTTCCTTTGCCGTTCTCAGCGATCTCGACACTGGTATCCGGACCCGTCCACGGCGCAGGTTTATGTTCCGGCTTGAGCTTTGGCCGCCGCCGAGTACTGTGTACTAGCAGCAGCTGCACCGAGGTAAACCTTGCGACGACGCCTCCATCGTCGTACAATGTAAGTTCTGATTGCCTTCTTGTATGGTACCGAGTCGTTAACAGGGTGGTTTGCCCGTCGATATTGACGCCAGCACGCGCGCTGGCCATCGAGAACGACCTTGGGTGCATGCCGCCTTTCTTCCGAGCTTTTGACACGCTTCTGCACGTTGCAGCTGGGGAGGACGAGAGCATCGAAGGTCGCTGGAAATTCCATGGTTTATTATTTAACGAAACGAGCGCTGGCAATCGTTTAGACTGGATCATTGTATGAAAAGTAGGCTTAAGTAACGTCACGTGCAGACAGGCCGTATCCCACGCGTGTCTAACACACCATTTTTCGAAGCGCCGCGGCCGAGCGATGGCGAGCACGGAGAGCGCGCGGCAGTCGGGCACCGCCGCCGCCATGCTCTGCCTTGGGGTGCACGCGATCGTCTTCTGGCTCCTCCGTGTGATGGCGCTGACCTCGCACATCCTCGCTGCCGCCTTCGCCGTCGTCAGTACGTCGCCTGCCTCTGCCACACTTGTGTGCTCAAGCCTGCGTAGGCCTGCCGCTCTGCTTGAAACTCACGTACGACGTCGTGGCCATGTGCATGGACGACGAGCCGCCGTCGTCGGCGCGGGGCGAGCGCCAGCAACTCCTCTTGTCCCGCGCCCACCTCCAGCTGCTTCTCACGGACCGTGACTTCGACTCGAACGGTAGCACGATTGCCACCGACCTTGGCGTGCGACTCACCGCGATGTTCTATAGATTACGAGCAGCTGCTGCAGCTCGACGACCACAACGTGGCCAAATCCCATGGCGCCAGCGAAGGCGACATTGACCGGCTGCCTGTCGTGACCGTGACGTACGTCGATCCACCCTGGCGCACGCGCGTGCGACGTGCTGTGTAGGGAAACGATGCTCCAGAGCCACAAAGAGGCCACGGGCTATGAGACCATCCAGTGCTCCATCTGTCTCGAAGACCTCGCCGTCGGCGCCCAAGCGCGCATGGTCCCGTGCTTCCATCGCTTCCACCCGCAGTGCATCGATCCGTGGCTCGTCGAGAAGGCCGAGTGCCCCATTTGCAAATTCCCGGCCATCGGCTAAGAACTGAGCTCTGTATTTATTTGTTGCTGTTAACCAACGTCCTTTGTATCCTTTAGTTGGTGACTAGTCATCGATCCGCCAGACAGGTTGTCCAAGTCATCGATCCGCCAGACAGGTTGTCCAACTTCAAGGACCCGAGTCCCTCCCACAATGGATCAAATTGTTCGCACTTTAAGATCTGATTACCTCTAAAATGCAATACTATTCGCCACGACCAAACCTCAAGGTGGCATAATTCGGGCGATGTGGATTGCGCCCGACGCGACGCAGGCAGGACGCAGCAAGGAAGAGAGGAGGCCGGCAACCGACCCGCCGAGGAGAGCGATCGCCCGCGTGCCATCGATAGACGCCGGCGGCGACGCGGGCGAGGACCCAAGAGCGCTGGTGTCGCTCCTCGAGCGCGTCCTGCAAAAGATCTCGTCGATCCCGGGGGCACTTGAAGCCATCTCGTCGGATCCAGCGCTCTTGTGCGAGCTGCAGCAACACGAGCTGCTCTTCTACCCGAGCAGCACGCCGACGCGAACGTCGCTGTCCGCGCTCGACAGCAACGTGGTACCTCTTGGTGAGTTGCAGTCGAGCCAACAAGAGCTGATGGGCGACGACGATGGCGACGACTTTCCTGTCGCCTTTGCGCCGCCGCAGCACAAGCCAGCGTCGTCGTCCAACGTCGCGATCCCTGCAATGGCGCTGCTGCCACCGCCGCCCATGTCGGCTTCGCTTGCGTCCAACTCGCCGAGCTTCTCGATGGGCATGCTCAGCATGTCGCCAGGTACGTACTCGCAGGACGGCGAACCGGTCTCTGCGCTCTGGCCACGCCAGCCCAACGAGTTTGCCTTTACGCAAGAGGACGAGAGCAAAGAAGACGAGCTCTACAATGAAGTGCTTTGCTCGGACGACGACGACGACCACGATGCGAGCAAGGTGTTTGAGATGGACATGGAAGAGGACGACGATGCGCCGTTTTTGCACGATGCGACCGCCGTCCTGCGCGACGAAGAGACGCTGCAAGACGACGACGATGACGACGACGACGACGGGGACGACGCCGAGATCCAGTACGAGACCATGCGCCTGCGCATCGTGCGCGAGAAGAACAAGACGGGCTTTGAGCCGAGCCAAGAGTGGGAAGCCCACGCCGGCGTGCTCCTCGGCGGGCAATACAGCGTGCGTCGCTCCGGCATTTCTCGATATTTGACGTTACGTAGATCCACGGGCTCATTGGCGAGGCCGTGTTTAGCCAAACGTACAAGGCGACCGACACGCGGACGGGGCAGCTCGTGTGTCTCAAGGTCATCAAGAACAACAAGGAGTACTTTGACCAAGGCCTCGACGAGATCCGCGTCCTCGAGTACATGCGCAACAGCGTCGACGACATTGACGCCGTCCACGTCTTGCGCCTCCTCGACTGTTTTTACTACAAGGAGCACCTGATCTTGGTCACCGAGGTACGACGACTTGATACCTTGATACTACAACGTATCGGGTAGCTCTTGCGCGACAACTTGTACGAATTCTCGCGCCTCGTCCGGACGCAGCCGGACGCGTCCGCCCTCAGCGCGTACTTTACGCTGCCGCGGCTCAAGAAGATTGCGCTCGAGTGTCTCGAGGCGCTTGCGTTTCTGCACCGCCAGCACATTGTGCACTGCGACCTCAAGCCCGAGAACATTGTCATGAAGAGCGTTCAGAGATGCGAGATCAAGGTCATCGACTTTGGCTCGGCGTCCTTTGTCTCGGACGAGCTCACGTTCTACGTCCAGTCGCGCTCGTACCGCGCGCCCGAGGTACTGCCTCGCTGGGTGTTCCTCGTGCATACTACCTAGTGTAGGTCATTCTCGGCCGCCGCTACGATGAAAAAGTCGATGTGTGGTCGCTCGGGTGCATCTTGGCCGAGCTCTACACGGGCCACGTGCTCTTTGCGAACGACTCGGTGGTCTCGCTCCTCGGACGCATGATGAGCATCCTCGGCGCATTCCCAACCTCGATGCTGCGGTCGTCGCCGGACGTCGCCAAGTACTTCGACGCCGACTTTGTCTTGCGGTCGCCAGTGCCCCCGAAAACGTCGCTGTGGCACGTCCTCCACTGCGCCGACCACCTCTTCATCGACTTTCTGCAGTCGCTCTTGACGGTCGACCCGAGTTTGCGCGTGACGGCGGCCGTCGCGATCCAGCACCCGTGGCTCCAGACCAACGTCTTTGGCCGCCACTGACGATTCAATGACGCTTCGACTTGGTTTATACTTGGGACTTAGTTTTTCACGTCAGTGATGGGCGGGAACGGCGTCACTTTCGAGAGCACGAGCACCTTGAGGCGGTGTGAGATGTAGCCCTTGATGTAGTTTTTGAAAATGAGGTTGGCGAGAAGACACTCGAGCGCGTCCATGTCGATCTCCGACATGTTGAGGTACGCGATCGCGTTCTGGAGGTCGGTGAGCTTGACGTGGTTGTGTTTCTCGCGGACAAGGTACACCTTCTTGAAGAGGTTGCGCATGACGAAGGGCTTGAGCTTCTCCATGAGGAGGTAGACACCGCGCTGGATAAACTTGTCTTGGTATTGCGCCATCGACTAGACACAGCCCCAGGACATGTCGCAACATGATCGTCGATGTCGTCTCTACCTGGTTGAAGAGCGCGACGTTGCCAACGCGAATCGCGTCGGCAATGCCCTTGTACTCGTCGAGCGCATAGTCGTCCAGGAGCTGCGGCGACGGCATGGTGCCAGAGCTGAGCTTGATGGGCACGAGGAATTGCAGAATCATGCTACGTAGAGGATGTATATCGATAGGACGCGGATCGAGGGCGTACCGCTTGTTGCGGCTGTACTGCTTGTGGCAGTGCTGCCACGCGTACATGAGGCACGTCTCGGCCTTGACGTAGTTGTCTTCAAACATGTTGATGCGGCCGACGTAAAACATGTACGTCACTTGGTCGCGCTTCTCGAACCGGTTGAAGTCCATGAGGTCGATCGCGCGGATGAGGTTGCGGCAGAGCGGGATCGTGTTGAGCTGGAAGTAGATCTTGAAGAGCTGGTTCACGACGTAGAGCGTGCCGGGCTTCTTGCTCAGCTCGGGCGACGCGCGGTCGTTGCTCGACATGGAGAACGCGCGCTTGATGTTTTGCTCGGCGTTTCGCTACGCGTCGCGATAGCATCGAAGAGGCGAGGCGCACCACGTACCAGCGTGTCCTGGACTTGGTTGCCGCGCTCGTTCGAGATCTCGAGGTCCGCTTTCAGTGCGAGCATGCGCGCATCGTACACGAGCGTGTGCAGCACGGGCATGATCCAGTTGGTCTCTTCGCGGTAAATGTCGAGAAAATCGCTGCACATGCATGAGACCAAAGTCCAGGAAGAGCGCAACGTACGTGTAGCCAGCAATGTGCTCGTCGTACGCTTGCTGGAACCGGCCGTTCTGCGCATGCCGCTTGGACTTGAAGAGCGCGGCCATGACCTTGGCGTACGCCTGCAAGCCGCCCGTGAAGGCCGCTTGGCACTGGCCCGTGAGCGCGATGTCGGTCTCATTGACGGTCAAATCGAAGGACGCCGAGAGGATCTGCGCCAGCCGGTCGCTCTGCTTGCGCTGGAGACAGCCCGCGATCTCCTTGATGACGGCTGCGCTCATGCTTTGTGTGGTTCTTGGCCAACCCGAATTACACTATTCCAGTGCTTTTTCGACGGCCGGAACTGGTGTCAACGTCTAATTCCACGCAATTTGTCCGTAGATCAAAGGGAGTCCACGATGACAAACAGAGGGAAAATGGCGTGTTTTTAGATGTCCAATCAACAACAGTATGGTCGACGACCCGGACCTCTGCACCGTCTATGAGGACGACGGTGTCACATGGCTCATCCAGTACGTGGACGCAGCCGACTTCTCTGGCCTCGCGCCTGTGACCCAAGTCTATGGGCTGGCGCTGACGCGCGACGGCAAGGTGCTCCTCGGCGTCGACGCGCGCGGCCGCTGCACGCTGCTCGGCGGGACCGTCGAGGCCGGCGAGTCCTTCGCCGAGTGCCTCCAGCGCGAGATGCTCGAAGAGGCCAACTACCGTGTGCTGTGCATGGCGCCCATCGGGTACCAGCGCATTGACTGCGGCGACAACGTGAGCTACCAGGTGCGCTACGCCTGCCTCGTCGAGCCCGCCGGCGCCTTCACGGGCGACGCCGACGTCCGCGCCATCAACCCCATCGTTCGCATCCTCGAGATCGAGCGCGACGATGTGCTCTCGCACTGGAACTGGGGCAAGAAGTCGGCGCTCATGCTGACGCGCGCCACCGAATGGTATCAAGCTGTCCATCAAAGTACATGCGAGCAGTCCGCTTCCTCTTCTCTTCTCCTCATGGAGCTTACTCGGTCTTCTTTTCACGGAGCGCCTCCAAGTCGGCTTGGAGCTGCTTGGACTTGGCCTGCTCGGCTTGGATCCACTGCGTGTAGAGACCCGTCATCTTTTGCACTTCCTTCTCGAGCACGCGGCGGCGGACCTTCTCCTCGAGGACCCACGCGCGCCACTTGTCGGACGCGATCGTCGTGAGCCCGTCAACCTCCGCGACCTGGCCCATCTCGCTGAGCTCGTTCTCGTCAATCGAGCGCGAGATGCTGCTGTCCTTGTGCAGAAGGCGCGCGCGACGGTTGTACTCGGCCTTGATCTGCAGCTTCTTGCGCGCCGCGGCGGCTTCGCGCTTCATGCCATCAACGACCGCGCTCGGCACGTCGGGAACGACCGCTTGGATGCCGAGCATGAGTGCAAAGATGATGTGCTCGCCTACTCCGACCGCGAGAAGCGTCTGGAACGGCGTGATCGTCGGGTAGATGCTCTGGAGGACGCCCGAGTTGAAGCCGATGATCGTGCAGTTGGTGAGCACGGCCACGTAGCTCAGGATCGTGAACGCAACTTGCCACGTGCCAATGCCGTTGTGCGGCGAGCGCGGGTTGCGCTGGTGGTTCATGAGGATCTTGAACGCGTCGCTGCGCTGCTCGACGAGGTTGTTGGCGAGCGCGCACGCACTCGCGAGCGGGTACGCGGACGCAAAGAGCGTCACGTGCCTACATGGTTGTCGTTTCCATTCGTCAAGACGTAGGGTACCCGAATTGGATAAAGAGCTCGAGGTAGTCCATGAACGTGCCTTCGTACACGGGCAAGAGCGCCTCGACGTCGACCTTGTTGACGACCGCGACCGCCGTGTCCTTCTCCGCGTTGAGTCCGACCTTGGCCTTGACGGTCGACTCGGCCATGACGAACGGCACCAGCGTTTCCTACGTCGATGCATGACGCGTCACCGTGAGGATGACGGGTACCGTGACGTTGCCAATCAAGAGGCGCATGACGAGAAGCGACCCGAGCGTCGTCTGGAGCAGCTCAAAGTCGCCGACAAAAAAGGTTATGTAGAAGAGCAGCCCAAAGTTGTTGACAAACTGAAAGAGCGCGAGCTTGGCAATGAGACCGTTCGTGTACTACACAGCACGGTGGCGTCAGTCGACCGACAACGCCAAGGAGAGAGGAGAGAGGAGAGGCAACGTACGTCCATTTCCGTGCGGTGGTTCTCGTAGCCGTTGAGCCACGTAGCGAGCGCGCCGTAGTGCTGGTCGATCAAAAAGACCGCGCCGGCGTAGAACGCTGACGGAAGCTTCGCAACGTACTGCAGTCCGTGCGTCCAGCCATTCTCCTCGGTCACGTGGTGTCGAATGTATTCCTACATGTCAATGATACGCAACCGTCTTTAAAGAGAACGTACCCCGGCCTGAAAGTACGCCAGCATGAACGCAGTAATGGCTGCGATTGCCGAGAGAAGGATCGGAATCGTCACCAAGTACCGGCGGAGGCGCTGGCCAAACGAAAACGACTTGTAGTAGCTCTCGTCAATGTCGTCGTACAGGAGCGTGCCGTCAAAGCCATCGCGGACCTTCTCGGCGCTACCGAGCACGACGCTCTCCGAGTCGGCGGCGCCCCAGTTCCAGACGAGCTCGCTCTGCCGGCGCTTCCATCCCTCGAGGAACGCCACGGCCCACGCCGCGACAAAGAGCGCGTACAAGGCGCTCCCAAAGTTGGACATGCCGTAGAAGGCCTAGGGTGCATCGAGAGAGCCTGCGATGGAAGGGATGTATTACCTGGTAGAGAGCGACCGCGAGGCCGACGACCGTCGGGTAGATCAAGTACCGCGTGTAGAGACCAAGGAACGCAAAGTAGAAGCCAACTTCGTTGCCGCAGTAGTCGCGGACAAGCGCGACCGGCACGCGCGTGAACGCGCTCTTCTGCTTGACCCACGACTCCATGAGGTGCGTGCGCTCGGTGGTATCGTGGAGGGGAAAGACCGCCGTAATGAGACCCTTGTCGCGGGCCGTCTGGAAGAGCTTGTCGCCGTTCTTGAAGACCGCGTGCGTCTCGCCGTCGCCGAGGAAGACGTCCAGTGACGCGAGCGCAAAGAGGAGCAAGTCGATCTTCTCGCCCGACGAGAAGGCAACGGCGCCGTCCGCGGTCGCACCAAACTCGGTCGCAAGCGCCTGCTCAAAGTGAACCCACTTGCCCTTGACGTTGGTCTTGCGCAGCGCGCAGACCTCGGCGTAGCGCGCGTAGACAGCGTCCGAGGCCGCGCCGACGAGGAGATAGGCCGCGCCGTTGTTCTTGGCCGGATCGTCGTCGTGCAGGATCGCCGAGTCGGCCTTCACGCGCACGACGAGGTCGGTGTGGTCGGCGACCTCGCGGAGGAAGAGCTCCATCTCGGGGAGCGACCGCACCTTGATAACGAGGTGCATGGCCTGCTCGTCGGGGCTGCCATCAGTGACCTTCTACAGCATCGAGAACTGCATGAGGACGAGGAAGCTCCATGGCGCTAGCGTCTACCAAGGGAACGGAGAGCATGAACTTCATGAGGCTCCACCCGGTCGCGGCAAAGCCGGCCGCGTACACGACGCCCTTGACAAGATCGTCCATCGTTCGTTCGCAAATGACTGTGCTGGCCTTTCCCACATTTTCCCGCATGTGAGAAACGGTATTTCACACGCTCTTCTTCGATCGTTTTGTGGATTGCATTTTACACGCACGTGGCGTTCGAAATAAGCTTGTTTTATGTATTGCGGTGGGAAATGTAGAAAAGAAGCGCTGCATTTTCCACCGTTGGAGCAGATCCAGACGAGGTTCCGTGGTCAAGAGAAGAGGAGCGATGCCATCAGCCTTCTCGATCGACAAGTTCACGGACAAGCTGCGCAGCTGCAACGAGACCGCGGGCTCCATCCAGACGCTGAGCGCATGGGTGCTCCACCACCGGGCGGCGCTGCCCGAGATGCTCGATGCATGGTACACCAGCTTCATTGCCGAGACCGCGGCCAAGAAGATCGTGTATTTGTACGTGGCGAACGACGTCATGCAGACCGGTCTGCGCAAGATCGGCGAAAAGATCCCGCTGGCGTGCGCCCACAAGGTCATGATGGCGGTCGTGCATGCGATGCACCCGCAGCGCGACCAAGCGGTGCATGGCGTCGTGCGCAAGCTCGTGCGTGTCTGGACCGACCGCCGCATTCTCAACGCCGCCGTCTTGGCCAAGATGGCCGACCTCTGCAACAATGGCGCGCGGCCGATCGACGCGGCCTCGGATGACGCGTTAGCGACCGAAGAGGACTCAGCCCGCGACAGCTTCCAGGACGATGCGCTCTTGACCGAGAACCTCGTGCTCGGCGACCTCCCGGACGCCGACGACTCGGAAGTCACGAAGGACGCGGCGCAGAAGCTGCAGGATCTCGAGGCCGAAATCATTAGCACGGACTTGCTCAGCGATCGCATGTTCCAGTTGCACTCGAACATCAAGATGTTTTACAAGGCGCAGACCGACGAGGCGTTCGATGTGGACGAAGAGAAGCTCTGCGGTATGAACTGGGACATGCTCGAAGTGCCCGTCTTTGAGATTGTCGTCGACCAGAGCCAGCAGCAGGTCGCGACTTTTCGCCATCACCTCGAGCAGCAAGGCGCCAAGCGCAACGACCTCATGGACCACTACGCATCGCTGACGACGTTTGATGTGCTCGACGACCCGATTATCTGCGACGTCTCGATGCGCATGGAGAAGGAGCTCGAGGACATGGAGCGTCTCCAAACGCTCTGCAAGGAGGCCGTCGTGCTACAAGAGACAACCAAGTTGCAGAAACTGGCGGCCTCCAAGCTCAAGCGCCGTCACAGCGACCGGAGCGTCACTGCCCCCGCGGCGCTGACGCACCGTCACAGCGATACGGACGTGCTCTCCCGATCGCGCTGGGACCGTGCGCCGCCCGCCGTCAACCACCCACCACCGACGTCGTCGTCGTACAGCTACGGGTTCGAAGCCCCAGTTGCGCCAGCGTACCAGGCGCCCCCTGCGTACGAATACACATCGGCGTCGTCATCGTCGTACGCACCGTCTTCGTATGGCTATGCCCCGCAAGAGACGTACCAGTACCGCGCGGCGCCCGAGCCCCAGTACGGCTACGCGTCGTCTGCGCGCAGCGGTGACAAGTACGGTCGGAAGCGCGATCGCTCTCGGTCCCGGTCGCCGCCCCGCCGCTCCCAAGACCGACCGCGCACCCACAGCAGCAAGTTTAGCAGCCAAGGCTCCGGCTACAAACGGTCCCAGCGGTCGCGGTCCCGGTCGCGCGAGCGCGAGCGCTGGTGACTATGGAGAGACGCCCTAACTGCATCTTCTTTTTTATCGTATCGCTCTGCGACTAATCTAATCCCTCTATGCTTTGTGCGCGTGCCACGTATTTGTTTCATACTATATACTATAAGAATGGTTAAGTTATCAAACACACAATGCTTCTTAGTCCAAGAGGATCGTGTCGCCGTGGTAGACGTCGTCAACGTGGCACTTGGTGGTGTACGCCGACTGCCGCAGCGAGCGCAGAATGGTTGCGTCGTCGAGCTCTTCCTTGGTCTCTTCCTCGTCGTCTTCGCTGTCGGTCGCAAAGTCGTCGTGGGTCCGGGCGAAATCCCAGTCCTTCTCAAACGACACGGTCGGAGGCAACGTCGTCGGCGCGCTCTGCGTCTTGCGCAGCGTTGGCGGCAACGACGGCGGCACCGCCATCGTCGACCGCACCGGTGGGCGGACGTGGCACGTCGAGACTAGAATTCCGATCGGGACCTCTTCCTCGAGCGTCAGTGGTGGCGTCGGCACGTGGCTCTCGCCTCGAGCCGGATCGGTCTCGTCGTCGTCATCATCAATCGGTTCGTACACCTCGTCGTCGTCGTCGTCGCTGGACGAGGCGTCGTCTTGAAAAAACTTTGACACGGAGAAGCCAGTCGGCCGTGAGAAGAGCCGCGAGACCGAACTCGAGAGGGACCGCGTGAGGCGGCTCACGTGGAAGCCCGTGACGGCAGCCACGGACGGCGCTGCAAAATAGGCGTCGCACGCGCCGCAGCGAAAACAGGCCGACGACGGAAGCGCGCAGACCTTGAGGCAACCCGGACAGCGCACGCGGACGTGGAGCCCGAGGTCCCGCGCGACATGGCTCGTCGTGTCCGCGACTTCGTGTTTGATGGTATCGAGCTTAGAGCGCAGCGCGTTTCCGCAGCTGCCGCAGTACGCGCTCGAGGCGCGGTTGCGCGTACCGCAGCGGGTGCAGTTGAGATGCATCGGCGCGCTGCTGGCGACCACCGACACGAACGGAGCGTCGCAGCTGTAGCAGTCTCGCACCCCGCTCGCATTGTAGCTAGCGCTATTGACAACACGGAGACAGAATGAGCTCATCATAAACATGTCGCCAGACGACGAAACTAAGCATGCGACCTACCATTCGCCACACCGCCACGAGCCGTCGCTGTGGATCGCATGGGGTGCTGCCAGTGGCTCGGTGAGCTGTGGTGCCGCCGGCAGTGCATGGTCGCACATGGCGCAGTGGCTCGTGTCGGCGTCATTGAGGTACGTGCTACAAACAAAAGCATGAGCGTGCTGGTCGGCGACTACCTGAGCATTCCTACCACGTGGTACAGGCGAGCGTGGCGGTGGTCGGTGGCGCCGTCCACGTCGACGAGAGGTGCAAGCTACGCCATGTTGCATGAGCTTGCCGGTCGTCGTCATCGTAGAAGTAGCGTACTTGGCGTACGAGCGGAGGAGCTGGTCAGCGGACAAGGCGGTCATGATTCGTCGAGCGCAGTTTGTAATTTGTGTCAATTGATCGCTCGCAAGTCGACACGCACCACCCGGTGCACCTCGTTTTTATTTTATAGCTGCAATTTCGTATGGTCCTGGAGAATTTATTTAAACCTGTCGACAAAGGGTGGCATATTCAGTGACGGCGCATGCTCACGCTGGCCAGACTCGGCTTGTCACGACGCCGCCACGAGTGGTGGCGAGCGAACGGACTCGCGATGCGATGCTCACGGACATACCGCGGTACGATGCAAGACAGGCCGAGGATACTACGGCTACTTGTAGTATAGACACCTTGTCCGGCGCCACCAGATCCGACAGCGTGTGATGCTGGGATACTGGGATGGTGGAGCGATAACGTTCTTGGAATCGCCACTGGAGAAAAACGAAGCAGGAAACAGAATTTGTCAAGCAAAGCGTGCTGTGCAGCGAGGTGCACCGTTGACGTACAGTGTCGATTGCACATTTGCAGTGGGACTTGCGACGGTCAACCTGGTTCCAGCGCGAAGGAGCTGCCTGTAGGACGTCGTGGCACATCATAGTTCTTAGAGTATGAGTGCACAGATCCGTTACAAGGGCTTGCGCCAGGAGGCAAAGCCATGACGAGAGTCGCATGGGCTATGCAACGCATCCTCTATGCACCATCCGAGGTTCAACGAGCGCCGCCACCGTTATCCGGATGCCGATTTTTATAAAGTGATAGGTATCCCAGTAGGTATCCTATCGCCAAACGTGGCAGCACGAGCGCGCGAGTAGTCGCCGGACGCTATTCGTGTCGCTGGAAGACGCCGCTAGTGCATCAAGCCATGGGTCAATAATAAAGCTTTATTATTGACCCATGATCAAGCGATGCGAGATGACGAATTGAGCGGCGCATGGTTTCGTAGAAAGCATCGGAAGAACCGAGACGAAGCGAACGTTGCAGCCAAGTGTCTGCTCCAGTTTGGAGTTAGTCTTGACGAGCGACATGGAGCAACAGTTCCATCCACTGCCCGGCACGTTCCGATAAGTGACGAGAGGGATGGCAATACTAGCGTGTGACCCACTAGGCTGGCACAAGTCGACTAGCACTGAGCTCTGACGCATTTCTCGAGCATACATCGGGTACGCGCTTTGGCTCCAACGCAACGACTGCGGTATTCGCGCGTTACTCCTCCAAGGCCGCGACGCTCGACCGCAAGTATTTGCTACGCTCGGTGCTTCAAGGCCGAGCAACTCGTGGCCTCGCTGCTTACTTCAAACGGTCGCCACGCCATCCCGGACACATACCTCACTGAATGTAGTACTATATCAGCGATGTCGCGGCGACGGCGAAGATCTATCTAAAGTCCCGTCATGTGCACTAGTATCGATTGACAAGCACTTCGTTTCAACCGCCATATCGAATAAATGTACAGTACCAACCTTACACCACGCTGGCGCTGTTTTAGCTCACTCACCGAACCGACCAGAAAACATGCGCTGAAACAGCTAGCGAGCTCAAGATGTCCAGCACCAGGGAAGAGAGGACTCGGTGGTCGTCGCAATGGATAGTATGCATGGTCTCCGACACCAATAACACTCAACGCGTCATACACAGTGCCATTCAACGTCTTTACTTTTACTGTGCATAGGCACAGCTATCAATGCTGCAGTCGTGAGCCCAATCACTCTTGGTTGCTCGTTTCCTTGGGCTTGTGCATCTCCGCAAAGTCGATTAGGGTGCTGCGGAACTCCTCGTACTTCTTTTTCCGCATGATCTTCTTCTCAACAATGTCATCGAGCTTCTTCAGGCCGCCAAAGAGGCGCTGGTCGACGAATTTGTCGATCATCGCGTCATTCAGCTGCTCGAATGCCTCCAGGAGCTTGTCCTTTGGCGCTGTGTTGAGAAACTTGAGGGCGAAGAGGACAGTCTTCGGGTCCACGTTCGCAGCGGGGTCCATCGTCTTGCCCATGTTTGCTCTTGGTCGTGGCTTGTGGTCGCCAATGTTCAAATGCTCGGCTTTGAGCGACGAGAACGGTGGGCGCTCTAAAGATATCCCGCGCCTTTTCATAAGCCAATCCGAATGCGCCATTTTAAACCAAAGGTCACTGATTGGACCGAAAAAATATACGTGGCACTCTGCCCAACCAGGAAGGTCGCACTACCGGTTTCGAAATTCGAAGCGCCACGTCACGCAGCCTGGGCACCCTTCGAGAACCTTCGATGGCCGACCCAGCGTCGGGTTAAGGCGCTGTATTGACATCTTCAAGAGAGCAGAGTCCTCGTCCTTTCACTGTATGCCTGTCATGGATGTCCACTGCATACCATTCCGCTTTGCAGCATGATCGTCAGTCCGCTCCAGCCCAACTAGTCCATCATATCGCGCAGCCGAGAATGGTGATGGGCGACTTCACCGCTCCTGCTAATTTCGTCATAGTTGCTGGACCTTGGCAGTGTTTCGAGGGAGATATGTGCGCTCTGCAGCTCAAAATGCCCGCGCGAGTTACCCGCTTCGCTTGGAAGCTTCTTCCGCCCACAGGATGGCGCCGACTCACAGTGCAAACAGTCTTATATTGGCGGGTTGCAATAGTACTACGTACAAGTTGACACGACCTAATCTGTGACGGGCTTCTCCTTGGGCTTGTTGGCCGTCGCATAGTCCAGAATGACGCTCTTGAACTCTTCGTATTTCTTCTTTCGCATAATCTTCTTCTCGACAATGTCGTCCAGCTTCTTGAGACCGCCAAAGAGGCGCTGGTCGAGAATCTTGTCGGCGACGCTGTCCGAGAGCCCGTCAAGGTTGTCGAGGAGCTTCTCTTTCGTGGCCGTGTTGAGGAACTTAAGTGCAAAGAGGAGGACCTTCGGGTCGACGTCGGCGGCGGGTTCCGTGGCCTTGCCCATGCTGTAGTTGTAGTTGTTGCTCGTTGGAGGCAAAAAGGAAAATGAGCTGTCGGACGAAGAGCTCGCGACGAGGTCGTCAAAGATAGGCCAGTTTTAACCAACTTCAACCAGCGAATATCGAACCTTGCCGTTGCGTAGCATCTTCTTTTTTCACGCAACTCGTCGGGTCGGGGTACCCACGTCCGGATCGCGTCACGTGTGATCACGGGGCATGTCATAGGCTAGCTACGGCCATGCAGGACCGCATAGAGGGGCAAGCGCCATAGTGGGCAGCGCTATAGGAGGAGATGGGGATGGGTGGCGAGGTCCGTTCTTGCGTCAGGTAGCCCGAATGCGCCTTGATAGCAAGGAACTGGTATCGTAGAGCCTGGTCGGGTTGCTACTGTACGCGCCTACAATGTACTGACTGTTGCCATCGTGGCGTGGAATCGTGGGTGCTAAAAGCGTGTTGGTACAGATTAAGTTGAGGGCGACGACGGTCTGAAAGATTACAACTAGTAACTAACTAACTCCGTCGCCGTGTCCGCGGAGTTCACGCGGTTTGGCGCTTCTCCTTGGGCTTGTGCTCGACGGCCCATTTCAGCGCAACGTCCTGAAACTCCTCAAACTTCTTTTTCCGCATGATCTTCTTCTCGAGGATGTCATCGAGCTTCTTCATGCCGCCAAAGAGGCGCTGGTCGACGATCTTGTCGGCCATGTGGTCGGTGAAGTGGCCTTCAAACGTCTCGAGGAGCTTTTCCTTGGACGCGGTGTTCATGAACTTGATGAGGAAGATCATGGTCTTCTCGTCGACTTCGACGGTCGGCGCGTGGTGCGTGGCGTGGTGCTTGCCCATGTTGGAGGAGGAGGAGGTTGTTCGTAAAATCGAAAATGGACTCGAGAGCCGCCTTGAGGACACACAGCGGCGCGAGAGAAGGCGCTGGCCCGCGCCCGACATTCGGCGATCTTTGCTTGTCGGGTCTGTGTCGTTTTTTCGATACGAAGTTGAAGTAGCTATGGTCAGGCGCCTTCCTTGGACCAATGAGCGATCATGCAAATAAAATAGAGAATTATCATTGGTGGAGCCACATTGCACTTTCTTCGACCCGAAGCCAGCCAATTATATGAGAAATTGTATTGGATGTGGCGGCGTGCGTGTTTCTTCATCAAGCCAGCGTGCATGTGGCGATCTTGTTGGTTGATACAAAGCGCTTGATATGTCGTACCCCGTGAGAGCCTGCTGCGGAGAAGCCCGCTTCGCAAAGATGTGCAGCCCCATACCCTTCTGCAGTGAGCGGCGATCAGAGTTGGGACGTTGAGGTTGTATAGGCCGGTCGAGCGCGTGCGCCGTTGCGGCGGGTTCTCAGCGCTGCGTATCTCGAGCCCGCCACGTCTGTCCGCAGGGCCAATTCTGGTCGACGAAGGCGTACGTCGTGGGGAATTGACTGCAGCCCCTCTCCTCTGTCCGCATGTCATTGCCCACAAAGCGTGCTATTTTGCCTCGCTAAAAAGAATGCGCCGCTATCTATCCCATATAAAATCTCCCGTAAATCGACAGTGTTTGTCAGAACGGAACTCGCCCACCGCAGTCTACAGAAGAGTCTACGTGAATCCTGTAGCTTTGTGAAATATGGCTTGTTTCATCGCGGACAGAACGTTGTGCTCGAGTGCAGGTACGCAAGAAGGCGAAAAACCTGCTGCCTGGATTGAGCGCGTGTATACACCACGGAGGCACACCAATCGTAGCTGCTCCAAGCGTCTCTCACATTTTGCTGGCAACGATGAGCCTGCGTACAAAGCGTGGGAATTGGCCAAGCAGCTGCGCCGGGGCTCCATGCGCGACGCCACCCTCTGGTCCATTCTGCAGCAATCCTCCTCGCATGTCTCTGCTGTCTTTGAACTTGCAGCATGTTGTAGCTCTTATTGCCGTGAATGGACTCTTCTGCGCTCTTTTGAATTTTGAAACGGCTCAGTCAATGTGTCAGTTTCGCAGGCCCTTGTGGATCGGCAAAATCGTGCGTTCATTGGTTGAAATGTCATTGCAGCTTGTGGCTTTTAGCCAATCGTTTCACATGTGGGTAGCATAGCCTATTGCTGTATTTGTTTTGTGTATATACTTGGTATTTGTATTAGTCTGGTATTATACCGATAAATTATGTGGAAGCTTACTTTCGCAACACAGTTTTATTGGTCAAGAGGCTGTTTTTTAAAACAATGACCAGCCCCACTCTCTATACAAAACTAGAGTATGTTATAGCTTGCATTGTATTATATTGCAATCCAGTGGGAGCCAATCGTTTTCGCGGGCGTCGGCCCGATGCTCGCATTTGCAAACTGGAAGCCAAGTAGGAAGAAGGCATGGATTAATCAGCCACGGGTTTCCCCCATAACTTATTGGCCTTCATGACCATGCGAAAGTAGTCTGAGGCCCTTAATTAGCTTGCGAGACAGACTGCAGACACGTACGACATCGACCTCGGTCGGTGGTGGACGTCCTACGGTTCAGTGTGCCATGTTCCTTTCTCAGTTCTTGAGGAGGAAAATCCATGGCGCCACCGGTCTCGTTCGCCAGTCTGGACCCCGACATTCTTATCGCCATATATACTTTCATCGGTTTCGGGTCCGTGTGAGGAAACAAAAACACATAACCATCTTTCGACAGAAGGTCTCCAACCAATGTCGAGAACCTACCATATTCTGATGGACCCTACACAATTATCATTGTGCGCTTTGCGCGTTCCTGTAGACTAGTCACTAGACGCCTGAATATAAAGACTAAGACGCGAAAAAGAAATTACCTGAAGCCACACGATTTTTCAACGTTGTTCGTGGTCTTCTCGAGGATAGAGCAAGGGGCGAAGCCGGAGACGAGAGCAGAGGTCGTTGTCACCCAGGACACAAGAGTTTACATGAGATGCTTCAGCACGACGAACCGAAACTCAAAAATGCTGATCGCTTCTCGCCAGCGTTCCACCTGCAAAGCACTGATCATGTGATGGCGGGTACACATCCAGCATCTACCAGCAGGGCGTCCTGTGAGGCAGATCAGGCCCGAGATGGTGATGTAAATGGTTGGATTCGCCCGTGGCGGGTCTGGTGCTCGGCGCAATGTGGTCGCGTTCGTTGTTGGCATTGCGATTTGGTGGCCATCAACTTGGCCATCCCGTACACGAAAGAGACATTGAAGCAACGCCAATCTGGTTACCTCTGGTTTACTTGCCTTCGGCAGGCCTGTACAAATGTATCGTACTTAGCACTGAACCTCAGATCATGCCACACAACGCGGCCACACTCCCAGAAAGATCAGTGACCTTTGCCCGAGTCTGGCGCGAAGATGTTGAAGTAGGGCTTGCTTCAAGGAGGGCTGGCAATTTCAACAACAGATGCAAGGACCATTGACTCATGGCAAGGGGAAAAACTACCATGCTACAATTATGATGGGCGATTGGTTCCTCGGAAGTCGATGTAGTAAAACGAAATCCGTAGAGGACATCGCTCTGGCTCACAGAGAACGTCCAGCTCCTCGTAGTACGATACATGCTCGCCGAGTTTACAGGCATCTTCTTGCACGTGCGATCAAGTACATAAGTTATGCTTTCGTTGTTGTAATCGAGACGACTCTTTGCGTCTGCCAAACGCCGCCACACATTTGACAGCGTTTCCATAGCCCCTTTTGCCAAGCTACTGTCCAAGGACTCGAGGAAGCACACCGAAGCGAGTTCGACGCCTACCACAGTAACCAGCACCAACCACTGGACTCGCGCAACGTCTCTACTCGGTGTGTCCACGACGACAGCCATGCGCACGACCGAGCAGCGTGTCGTCTGCCTCAACCCGCGCAAGCAAAGTGCGCAGGCCACGGCACAAGGCAGCCCAAGTGTGTAACGCCATCTCTAATGTCGACTCAGCGCTAGACGGCGCCCAAAGACGGCGGCGCATCGAGGCGCGAGCGCGGCGATTACGGATGGCGTCATTGTACAGGGACAGGAAATATCCACACCCGCTGTGGGTGCACCTAACGAGGGTCGGCCAGAGAGAGGAAAGAAGAAGGGGCACCCGAGAACACCAATGCAGCGCTGCGTTGCCACATTGCACTTTTCTGCGAGCCGCCCGACAGTTGGCAGACGCCCGAGGTGCTTGTCCATCAGCTGGCGCAATAGCCCAATCACCTGCATGGCCATGATGCAACGCATCGCATTTATAATCATTTGCGAGCCACGGGCAAATCGAAGGCGGCGGCGCCATGACGTCGATCGGAAGGAGTCTATGACGGCGCCTGCTAGTGTCCCCATCCTTGTCGCCGCACCTAGAGCTCATTTCGCATATCAACTTGCGGCCACCACTCGCCGGAAGGCTGCCCATGCGCCCAGGTTTTGTCACGGCTGCCAACCGAAGATGACGGAAAGTCGAGTCTTCGTACCTCCCGATTGCGAGGGGAGACAGGGCTCGACCCATCCGGCGTGGGTATGGGTCAGTAAGGGCCACAAGGGCCGCGGCGTTCTTGTTTCGTGAACCTTCGGAACCTTCGGGTAACGCGCGCAAGAGTAGTAGCCGATGACGAAGAGGCCCCGGGCGCAGAAACCTCGACCCGCCGAGGCGTCGCGGACAGGCGGCGCGACGGCGATCGCCAGGAGCTCCTGCTCTGATATGCCCACGTGGTTGCAAAAGCCAATGGCAGCACGCGCGACGAGCGTGTCGCAGGACGCGCGTAACAGGGTCGATCGGAAAGAAAGGGTATACTGGGGCGAATTAGGTTGAAGCCAATGGTTGAATAAACATTGTCGGCGCGCCGAGCAGCAATGGTCATTTCCCAACGAGCGCCAAGATGCCTAAGTACACAGCCACGAGCATCACCGACGAGGTGGACATCCGCGTGACGGACCGCAACGCCAAGTTTGAGCCCACGACGCTCTGCAAGATGTTCCAGGCGACGGCGGCCAAGTACGCGTCGCAGCCGGCCTTGCACTACAAGCAGAATGGCGAGTGGTACGGAGGAGCTACTTTCTCTGTATGCTGACGCTCATCAACGCAATGCTCTAGGGCGTCGTACACGTGGAAGGAGTACGAGGCCAAGGCCATGGCCTTTGCCAAGGCACTCGTCTCGTTGGGTTTTGACCGCTTCGACACGGTCTCGATCTCGGGCTTCAACTCGACCGAGTGGTTTGCCGCGTATATGGGCTGCATCATGGCCGGTGGCGCCGCCACGGGCGTCTACACGACCAACGGCCCGACGGCGTGCCAGTACGTCTGCAACAACTCGTTGGCGCGCGTTGTTGTCTGCGACGGCGTCAAGCAGCTCGAAAAGTTCATGTCGATCGCCGATCAACTGCCGTCGCTCAAGGCTCTTGTCGTGTGTACGTATTCAAATTGCACTTTCGACTACGATCTCATGCCAACTGCGTGCATTTAGACAATGCGCAACTCCCGGCCGACGTCGAGTGCTGCGTGCCCATCTACGACTTTGAGGCGTTCCTCGGCCTTGGCTCGGACATTACGACGGCAACGATTCAAGAACGCATCGACGTTCAGCGCCCGGGCAACTGCGCGTCGCTCATCTATACGTCCGGCACGACCGGCAACCCAAAGGGCGTCATGCTCTCGCACGACAACCTGACGTACACACTGCGCGCGGTCACGTCGGGCTTCCAGGGCGACCTCTTCAACAACACGGAGCGCATCATTTCGTTCCTTCCGCTGTCGCACATTGCCGGCCAGATCCTCGACATTGGCATCCAGATTTACTACGGTCTCCACATTTACTTTGCCGAGCCGGATGCGCTCAAGGGCTCGCTCGGCAAGACGATGAAGGAGGTGCACCCGACCTTCTTCCTCGGCGTCCCCCGCGTCTTTGAGAAGATCTCGGAAAAAATGGTCGAGGTCGGCCGCGGCTCCAAGGGCCTCAAGAAGGCGATCGCGACGTGGGCCCGCCGCGTCGGTGGCCAAAAGGTTGTCATGAGCCAGTACCACGAGTCGGGCGGCAAGCCGTGCGGCTACGACTTTGCCAAGGCGCTCGTCTTCAACAAGGTGCGCGACGCGCTCGGTCTCGACAAGTGCAAGGCGTTCTACTCGGGCGCGGCGCCGCTGAGCCCGGAAGTCACGGCCTTCTTTGCGTCGCTCGACATTCCGATCTACGAAGCCATGGGGCTCAGCGAGACGACGGGCATTTCGTTCTTCAACTACCCGCACAAGTGGAAGCAGAGCTGCCTTGGGCACTTCCTTACGGGCACGGACGTCAAGATCGACCCGACCAACTCGGAGCTGCTCATTCGCGGTCGCCACGTCATGATGGGCTACATCAACAACGAAGAAGGCACGGCCGCGGCCCTTGACGAAGAAGGTTTCCTTCACACGGGCGACTGCGCGTCGTTGGACTCGGATGGCTTTGCGTACATGACGGGTCGCCTCAAGGAGCTCATCATCACGGCCGGCGGCGAGAACGTCCCGCCCGTCCTCATCGAAAACGTCATCAAGGAAGAGCTCCCGCTCCTCGGCAACGTCATGATCATTGGCGACAAGCGCAAGTTCCTCTCGGCCATCTTTACGTTCCGCGTCACGGTCGACGAGCACGGCGAACCCACCGACAAGCTCGACGCCGAGGCCAAGTACATTTTGGCGCAAATCGACTCGGGCGCGACAACGGTGGCCGAGGCGATGGCCGACCCGAAGATCAAGACGTACCTCGACGCCGGCCTCAAGCGCGCGAACGCCCGCGCCACGTCGCGCGCGCAGAACGTGCAAAAGTACATTTTTGTCGCGCGCGACTTTAGCGTGCCCGGCGGCGAGATGACGCCGACACTCAAGATCAAGCGCAACGTGGTCGCCGACAAGTACGCGACCGAGATCGACGCCATGTACGGCCACTAAGCCGCCCGAGTCTATTTGTATAATCCACTGTCGTTTCCTTTGTACAAATTGGTTACGTCCACACGCAGCGAAGATCACGAGCGATCACCCAGCTGGTCGCATCAACAGTTTTCTGTCCACACAGTTTCAATGATTGGGAGCTGGAGAACCCGTTGGGTGTGAGTTTGGTTGTCGCCGAGGTCTGCGTGGAGATGGTCATGCAAATGATGGACAGCTCATTCATCGCAAGCTACAATATAACTTGCCAACCTCGCCAACGTATTGTAGTTAGTGTAGGTGATCTCGCGATTCACTATTAGTATGAGTTGTTTGAAACCGCCTTGGATTGTCGCAGGTTCCACTGTACATGTACGTGGAGGGGTACGGTCCTTATATAGCCCGGAGCGACTTGGTACCGGTCTTGATGCCCGCGCCGAATGGATGCTGTGGCGACCATGATGAAGTGAAGCTCAACTTCGAGAAGCATCCGGCAGTGGGACGACAACGTAGCGTCGTCGTTCCAGCGACGTCCATTTGGCATGACGTCCACGCTCAAGTATCGTAGAAGTCTGTCTGTGGTCAGTGTCTCGCATGACGCGACGCAGCTGATTGGTCGACGGACTACAACCCGGGGCAGTTCCCCGCCTTCGTTGGCTCATTTTCGCTTTTCGCCAGCAAGCAGCAGCAGCATGCCCAAGTACACGGTGGGTCCAGCCTCCGTAGTTTGGCACCAGCTTATCGAGTACTGTTTATCGTAGACGACGAGCATCCGCGACGAGGTCGACATCCGCCTCGATGAACGCACAGCGTCGCTGCC